TTTGGCCTTGAGGATTCCATGTGAGGGCTTGTCTTGTGACGCAGTTGGATGCTTTCCTCAATGTGTGTCCTATCCACTCCCAGCGCTTCTTCCTAATTTCTTCCTCCGCTGGGAACTGGTTTGTTCTCTCCCACAGTACGTTGTTGCTAATAGTATCCGGCCAACGGATCCGAAGTATTTTACGTAGACAACTGTTAATAAACACCTGTATTTTCTGGATGATGACTTTCGTAGTTTGTTATTCCCATTAATTACAATAATTGCTATCTAAATAGCTCTTTATTTTTTGATTGAAATCATAAACCGATTGACGTTAAACAACTATTAAAAACCTATAAGTACTGGACGGCCGTTTCGTTCTGTTGTGAGACTCCTCAGCAGTGCCCATCCACGATCCCGCTCGCGGGATTCGAACCCAGGGCCTTTAGTCTTGCGCGCGAACGTTTAACTTCAAGACCACTGAGCTGGTCGGCATCCAACAGTGATGATTTCTAACTTCAACCAATCCGCGAATTCGCGCGACCATCTTCCATTGTATTGAGATAGATAACTGTCTCTACCCAACACGGATTAACTCCACTGGTCACTTTTTCTCACTAGAACTCCGAGAATTCCTTCATGAAGCTAGTCACTAGTGAGCTCATGGTATTTATCCGCATATACAACCAATGATTTTGTTTATTTGTTGTTGTTGTTTGTTCTGGATATTGAAACTATAGTAACTCTGTAAATAATAATGATATATATAACAAATATTATGAACCTCATGATTAAGAATTTCTTTCAATTACTTTATTAATTCAATCATGATAAGTAGTAAGCTCTGTTAAATTAGAAGAAAAAAAAGAGAAAGAAATTTATACATCACATGTGATAATCATAATCATAACAATCCATATTAAATAATAATTATGATGATAATGGTCAGAAATTATTGTAATTAAAAGTAATAAATAATAAATCAATTACATAAGACAAAATATAGGAAGATTTTTCCAAATCTATTTAAATCATAATGTGAATAATAATAATAATAATAATAATAATAACAGAAACATTGATAACCATTCAATGCAAGTTTTGGAACATCTTTACTGTTCTTGAATGAGATTTATTTGATTGATTTAAAAATAGTTGTCGTTAGCTAAATCACTGTTACTAGGTTGGAAGAAAACTAAAGTTCATAATTGATTGATCACTGGGTGGTGATCAATGTCATGCTTGTCTAGTCCTTATTAGTGCAGATCGAATGCTATCGATCATGTTGCAATGTGGCCACCAGTCTAGGTGACTCGACACTGCAGGCACTATGTATTGAGATTTAGATGGTGGTTGGAGGTAGTCAACAGGAAACCCTATTGACTACCTCCAACCACCATCGAAAACTAAAGTTTCCTTTATCTTAAGGATATCGTTAGATTAAACCGTCATTTGACACTACACTACAATATGCTAACAATCTTCTAACAACCAGAGCAACAATTTTTATAGGCACATAATACGTTCGGACAATGTGAAAGACTGGGTGGACCAGTGAAATAGAAACGGAAATGTTGAGATACAATATGGCAGTACTGGTAATCAGTGAAACCCATTGGATCCAAGCTGGACAGGAAAGGCTAGATACAGGAGAGGTGCTGCTGTACTCCGGTCACGAAAAGCAAAATGGTTCACATACTCAAGGAGTAGTTCTGATTCTGTCCAAAGAAGCATGTGATGCACTTATTGGATGGGAATCTCACGAATCCAGGATCATCAAACCATCCTTCAAGACAAAGAAGAAAAGAGTCACAATAAATGTTATCCAACGTTATGAACAATAATGACAAAGACGACATTGAATATCAGTTATATGACAGGCTACAGTCGATCATAGAGTAATGCACAGGAAATGACCTGAACATCCTGATGGGATATATAAAAGCCAAATTCAGAATGGACAACACAGTGTATGAAGAAATCATAGGAAAACATGGAATGACTGGGAGAAAGGAAAGAGAATAATGATAGATTTGAAAATTTATGTGCATTCAATAATATGGTGGCACAATATTCCCACGCAGTCACATACACAAAGCTACATGGGTCTCATCGGATCACACTTACACGCAACCAGAAAGACCATATTTGCATTAGTAAAAAATTCACAAGGACATTGGATGACGTGAGAACTAGGAGAGGTACTGACATAGCTTCAGATCACCACCTGATAGTTGCCAATATGAAACTGAAGCTAGAGAAATGCTGGTAAACTGTGGAAACAGCATTGTAAACGTTCAATGCAGACTTCTTACGAGATATTAATAAACTCAACGAATTCAAGATAGATCTCAGCAACAGGTTCGAAGACTAACAAAATCTACTGAAAAGAGAAACTAGAATTGGGGACAACTGGAAAGGGATCAATGAAGTGTTGTGTCGTTTACTATGTTAAACCCATATTACTTATTCTAGTTTCTGGACAGGCCAATCTATTCATTCCTTCCTGGGCCACGTTTTGATCTTGTTAATTATTCACTTGTAAACTCTGACTGTTTTTATATGAGCGTGTGCGTGTGTACATCTTATCCTACTCATCACATGTCTGTAGTTTATTTTTGTCTGACGGAAAAACTAGTGATTAACGCTTGATTGAATCGAGCTGGTTCATATGCCTTCTCCACTGATCGTCGTTTCGCTTCACTTTCTTCTCTTCTTTTCCCACGTTTCTTTCCTCTGATTGCCTGCCCAAATCATTGTCATATTTGAATTATTCAATTCCGTTATTCACTAAAGTGAGTTAAGTCGATGATTCTATGCGAGAATAGTCTTCGTATATAATTCAATCACGGTCATTCGTCCGATCTAACTGGAGTCAGATAAAATGCATTAACTTCAAGGTGTCAGAAGGTGCTGAACCGTAAGAAGTATTATCATAAGGAATGGATCTCTATGAAAAGGCTAGACAAGATTCAAGAAGGGAAGAACAAAAAGACAGCAATTAACAACAGCCGAACAAGAAAAAAAAAGTCAAGGTACAGGCCGAATACACCAGAGAAAACAAGCAAGTATAGTGGAACATTAGAGCGGACAAGCAGAAATATGTCGAACACCTAGCAGCAAAAGCGGAAAAAGCCTCAAAAGAAGGAAATATGAAACAGCTATGTCAGACAACGGACAAACTGGTATGGAAATACAATAAACCAGAGAGACCGGTCAGGGACAAAGAAGGCAAGACAATCACTGAGATTCAAGAACAGAGGAACAGATGAGTGGAATACTTCGGGAAATCTTGAATAGACCAGTTCCATTGAATCCACCGGACATCGGAGCAGCACGCTCAGACTTTCCCACAGATGTCAATCCGGAATCAGACAAGGTTGCTTACTGTCTCTCGCCCCTTCTACTTCTTATGGTGGTCAACTGGATTATGGAAACCTGGACATCTAAGGGAAAGCATGGAATACAATGGACAGATCGGAATCAATTAGAATTCTTGAACTTCGCAGATGACTTACCTCTTCTATCCCATACACACGAACAAATGCAGATGAAGACAACTAGTGTTGCAGCAGCCTCTGTGCCAGTAGGTCTCAATATACACAAATGTAACACGGATAACACCAACTCAATCACATTTGATGATGAGACTCTGGAAGAAGTGCAAACGTTCACGTGACTGAACAGCAGCATCATTGATGTAAAAAGAGGATTTGATGCAGACGTAAATGCAGGAATTAGCAAAGCAAAGAAGAACACATGGATCTCTAAACAACTGTCGAACAATATCAATTTCAGAATGTTCAATACGAACATCAGGACAGTTCTCTCGTACGGAGCTGAAACGTGGAGAACTACTACAGCTATCATCAAAAATATAAACAACTGTCTACGTAAGATATTGAACGCTCGTTGTCTGGATACTATCAGCAACAGCCTACTGTGTGAGAGAATAAACCAGGTTCCAGCTGAGGAAACTGGAAAAGACGTTTGAGGTGGATAGGACTTACATTACGGAAATCACCAAACTGTATCATGAGATGAGCATTAACTTGGATTCTGAAGGGAAACGGAAGCCCAGAGAACAGTGTCGACAATAGGGAGCAGACATCCGAAACAAAAATAGCAACTGGAAAAGATTGCCTAGGACACGGTTGGATAGAGTGGAAATCGATCAATAATTTTCTAGGAAGGAAAGTCAATGATTATCATAAGAACAATTGAAAGGTTTTAATTTCTGTTCAATAAACGACTGAATGAAATTAAGCAGTAAATACTGAATGATATAACCGATAGGTAAATTATGTATTCAAAATGACGAATGGATTTAGGTGTTGAGGAATAATGTCAGATATGTAATTCAAAGTCAAGTCATGATTAACCCAAGAATTAAAAAAAATTGCACTTGACATCTTTTCACTGGTAAATGAGAACGAATTGATTATAGTGATATGGTACTACGGTCATTGGAAAAGAATGTTGCACGATGAAAAATATTACCTACAAAAATTGATGAACTTTAGGCTTGAATAATGAGGTCTAAATGTTATAATTCTGTAATTGTTTTGTATCAGCTTATATATATAACAGTTATCTTCTTTTTAGTTTTATACACTGAATATTTGAACGTCTTTTATTTGGGCTATTCGATAATGAGATAAACTATATCTTCTCAAATGTTAGGAAATTTTCAATTTTTATAATATTCTTTCGTTACTTGCAAAACTTTAGCTAAGAAATAAATTGTAACTTAGTGATTAAAGTTTTGTTCAGATAAGTTTAGATTTGGAAAACTCATGTTGTATGCTAAGCTGTTATACAGCAGAGTCAATAGTCATTCAAGTCCATAGTTATGTACTCACTCATACCTAAGAAAAAACTGGTCTTTGAATCGTCATAAAACTATTGAATTTACACTAGTTTCCTAAACTATATTAAAAGACCTTAAAGGTAAGTATAAGAAAAGATTTTCAGGAATTGACTATACGTCCTCCTCAAACGGAAATAATTTTGAAACAATTAAGATTGAACATTTACTCTTAAAATCTATATAAATAAAATTGTGGTTTTATTATACATACACATATCAAGCGAGACAAAAATTAAGTAATAAGATGTAAGATATAAACTTGAAATTTATGGATAACTAGTGATAATGCTTTTCACAATTAAAAAGAAATTGAATACCAGTAAAGAGTGACCAAAATATGTTCGTTTTTTTTTCTGTGAGGCAGTAAACGTCACAAATGACTTGATAATAATAATAATGATAACAACAGTAATAAAAGTTATGTATATAAATACATATTTCTGTACAATATTTATTATATTCAATAAAGGGTTCTTTTTTTTCTTCATGAATTGAAACCGTGTCACATTGATCAAAAGGTTTAAATGAATGATAGGTTAGGCAATGAGATTAAGAAATAAAGCAATATTAAATTCATAAACAAGATAACATATACATGTATAGATCTGTGATATATTGTTGAGATCAGTTGAACATGAGCTGCTGTAGTTAATCATAAATATATGCGTGTTTAAATATATATATGTACATATATGACGGTTAGAACAATATATATATATATATATATATATATATATATATATATATATATATATATATATACGGATTTATGGTTGTAGTAAGTAAATAAAAATAAATTCCTTCTCTTTTCAGGTTACACTGAAAATCTTTGGTATACAAATACATAAATGTTTGAATTTAATACATAAGGGGAGTTTGAAAAAACTACATGAATTTTGAAAGACTGAAGAATACAAATATAAATATATATGATACAATGTAGAGAACAAAGGAGAAAAGTAACAAAAAAGGTTGTTTTTTTTTTTAAAAAAGAGAACAAATTGCACCGTTTGACGACAAACTTTGTAGTTTAAAAAGAAAGGAAAAAGCCAAGCTAAATAGGAATAAAAGTGAGTCTTTATTTAGAAACAAATTCAGGTTATTGTGAATGGTTTTCTTTGATATCACCGAAAAATAAAATAATTTATATAAATATTGTGCACACTGTATAATGCATAAGTAGTACTAAGCATCGCTAATCTTCTGTTTGCCATGTAACACGACGCGTAGTACTAACAGATTTCTCGGCTTCATGACTTCTAGGATTGTTTGAAGATGTAACTAGTAAAGGAACCGAATTTCCTGAGGTTGAAGCAGTCATTGTAGAAACTCCACAAGGCTTTTCATCAGATATTGATGAAGATGCTCTTGAAAAGAAAGTGACATCGGATTGATTGCTTATGGATAAATGAGGAACACTAGTTGGTGTGGACTGATTAAGGCTACTTGAACGATCAGATGTTTTTGAAATTTCATGGATAAAAGATGATAATTGACAGGAAGGTGCTGATGCTGTTTCATGCAAAGCTGAATCTGATGTGGTATTGTTTTTATGGTGACGTGAGTGTCTATGAGACTTAAATCGATCACTTACATCTTTAAATGTACAGCTAGGAAGAAGACAAACCTCTTCACTATTTGATTCTGTATTCCAAGGTAAATAGCATGGATGCCTGATTTCAATACTTTTACGACACACAGGACATTGATCTACACGATCAGCGCATATGCTGCAGCATATTGTATGACCACATGGAAAGAAAACACGTGATATTGGTTGGTCCATACAAACACGACAGAGTGCTACTTCACGCAAAGTTTCCTGGACTATCTCTTGAACTTCCTAAAACAAACGTAATGCACAAGAGAGCATATAAACATATGAAGTATTTATTACTGAATTTCACATAAAATTACTATAATAAGCGATGTATTTTCGGAAACCTAAAAAAATGCTAAATTAATTGTTACTAAATTAACAATAAAAACAAAGACTTCTTTTTATCACTATATCAAGTTCACTGAGGTTGAAACTAAGGAGTTGAAGGAACAAAAATTGAATCTTTGTTATAAAGTATAGAAAATCGAAATCCAATAAAGTAAGAAAACGTTATATTTTGTTGCAGTTAATTATTAATAACACCATACTGATCCGAAGGTATTGTCAGGAATGCGAGAAAAAAAAGATAGCCAGTTAAGAAAATATTTACTTACTTTTTAGTGGTCTCTTATCTGACTCCCGTTAGATCGTACAAATGATTGCTATTGATAATATACATATCTTCAATCCTCTTATATAGTTATCAACTTAAATCGCATTGGTGAATAACGGAATTAAATACGAGAATGGATGTTTGAATATGTATGTTTTGTACACTCCTTGATCGGAACAGACAATCAGAGAATCGCAGCGAATGAGACGAAGAAGAGAGAGCAAAGTGAAACGCAGAGACGCGCAGTGGAGAAGGCGTGTGAGTCGACTTGATTTAATCAAGCGTTAACCAATATTTATCGTCATACAAAATAAGCTACAGACATGTGATGAGTAGGATAAGATGTACAGTCAGGGTTGACAAGTGAACAATTAACAAGGTCAAAACATGGCCCAGGAAGAATGAATAGATTGGCCTGTCCAGAAGCTAGAATAAGTAATATGGGTTTAACATAGTAACCGACACTACAACTTGAATATACTGCAGACTTTGGATAAAAACGCTGCCCATATAGGTAAGTTATTTAATATAACTGATAGTATATCAGATATATTTTGGTGAATTTATCTTTCCCCTATTAACTTGACAATGAATGAAATTGTGGTTACATATTAGTTAATTGATGTAGACGTTGGTCGATTGCCAAAAAATAACAGTTTTATGTTGGATAGGTGTTACCACATAATTTTGTTGATTACTTTCACTGTCGATATCAATCAAAACAAGAGTATGCAAAATTAGAAAATCTCAGATCAAAATACAACACAATTTATGGTGAATAAACTAAATTATGGATACTTGCTAACAAAACCATACTTAATATGGAAGAAACATTTCACAAACAGTAGGAGAACCAGTTTTAAGTGCTATATTTATTCTAAGTTACCGATAGGCCGACGAAAAAAAGGCGACTTCTGAAGAAAACAACACATTTTCATTAAAAGAGCATATCCGTATAAAACTCAGATGCATGGAAATAATCAACAGGAGGCTTCGTAACCATGTTTTGCACAAGTTGGTACTCTTCAGATAAACTTGTTTATAGTCTTAATAAAACTGTTGTTATTTTAAAAGTTTCGAGCACAGCTCAACCAAAGTCCACGACAAAGATGTTACCACTAAGCGATTCCAAACAGGACTGACAACTTTTAATATAAAAGGTAGTTTGAGGGTGGTTAAGAAAATTATTGAGTGGAATAAGATACTCGACAAGTCAGTACAAAATAATAAGTTAACGGAAAAGCAATCAATAAAAAAATAACCCAAACTTATCATTCATCCTTTTTTTATATTTTGTCTCAATGAGGCAAATAGACTGACCATAACTGAACTGCTTAAGATATTCAATTACGTTACATCTTTGTTGAAGGTGATAATCACTTAAACTGTACTGACGCAGATCAGTAGAATGTTGGACAAGTGGGTAATCCAATAAAATGAATAAAACATATTTACCTACTGTGTATCACTATAGTTGGTAATGTGAAAATTACTTATACTGTAGTATATGCTACTTATGTTGATAGATATAATTGATATGTAACACCAATCAGAAGCAGAATGCCTAACAGTAGAAGGTTGAGAAGATCGAACTGAAGAGGATAGGAATGTAAACCGAGTGTAATTGTAACAACAACACGAATGGACGGACGATGGAATTTGGAAGAGACAATTAATGGAAAATGTGCAAATGAAGTATTTCATATTTTATGAAGACACTTTGCTATTTTTTATTCATCAATACATTAATAACAGTTCATACTTGTAAAGAACGACAAGGCTAATCATGTTTATTGGCTAACAGAAGAAGTACATAAATAACAGACGTTAAGCTTTGAATTATTACGAAATGAATAGACGAATTTAAAGCATGGAAATATGCTTAATATTTAATCATGTATCTAGTATATTCTTTTCATGACAATGGATAATATTAAAAAAATTTTTTTCATTGAATAAATACTAACCGAAAAAACACGATTTACAAATAAACTACCCGATCAATACATTTTTTTTCTCTGAAAACGAAAATCAATGAAAATACAAGATCAGGAAATTGTCAAGGTCATTGCTTTTAAAATATCATGCATTGGACGCGTGATTATAATATCCATAGTTATTTGGGAAGAAAAATAGACTAATTACTAGACTATTTGGTTTAAACTACTGAATTAGAAAAATGGATATCCCAAACAAAGTTTATAAGAGGGTAGAAATGAAGGTAAATACAATAGATAAAGCTAAAAATAATTTTAGTTTCATTATATCACGAAAGAAAGAAGTTAGAAAATTTTCTTTGAATCCTATTAGATAAACAATATTTAACTGGTTATTTGTGTTAGCAACTATTCAGTAAAATATACTTAATGATGTAATCTTTTAATTATAATATTGAGTAAGAAATGAAAGAACACTTAATCAGAGTTGATCAAAGGTAGAGGCTACAAGGTAACAAAAGGATTTTCTTGAAGTAAATTGACTATTTTACCACTGAAATATCTAACTGGACGGTAAATTATTTATGAGAAAGGACCATGCACATAGGATAAATAATCAAAAGTCAAGCAAAGATAAAATAATCTTTCATTATTCTATGATTATTAGATGACGATTGTCTAAGATGATCAATTGTGAATATAGTTCATGTTTTTAAAAAAAAGTAATTTAAACAAACTAATAAATAGTTGAATTCATGAGTCAATTAAAGCTAGACCACCATGAAAAATGTGAAAGCACTGAAAGGCCGTTTCGTCCTAAAATGGAACTCCTCAGCAGTGCGCATCCACAAAACTCCTTTCTGAGAATAAATAGTTGAAATATAGATAAGATTTATTTGGCAACTGGGGATATTGGACAAAAAATTAGTTTATAGATCTTTTAGTATATGTTTAACCATCATACTAACTTCCTTTTAACAAAAATCATTACAAATAAATTAAGAAAAACTACTAATCATTTTAGGTAAATATAAATAATCAGCTAAATATTTAGTCTCGAAGAATCAAATTTCATGCTTTAAAATCAAATTAAAATAAAATCACTCATAATACATAAATTGAAGGTTCATTCGATAATAGCCATTTAATTGAATAAAATTAGGGATAGAGAAAAAACATTGTGAACTAAAAAACAACAACAAACGAAAACTACATAATACCGACATTTAATAACAATGTTTTTAGTAAACATGTGATATAGCCAAAGGCTGAAAAAAAAGAGTAGAAACGAAGTTAGAAAGCTGTAATGCTTTAAGCTAAAATAATTAAATTTTATAGAACTCAGTAAAAGGTCATGTAGTATTCATATTTAAATCTTAAATTTATTGTGAAACCCAGCTACGTGACAGCTAAGTAGCTTAATCCAAGTGGATACAGTATAATTCAAAAGTATGATTTAATAATGAAGATTTTATTGCTTTTCAAACTAAATCAACATCATCTCTCTAGTGTAACATCATGATATGTTTACTTTTGAAAAATAAAAAAGAAGACAAAATCCATCTTAGGGTTGTAACAGAGTTTCATAATATAGGAATAAAATTATCACAGTCACCACAATACATGTGGATTATTAATAAGTGATTTTAATTCCTATGAATTACGAGTTTAAAATGTGATATTAATGATACTAATAATTAAATAAAATAATTCAATGTATTTAAAAACTCCACCAATGAAATTGTACATCATACGTATTATTGAGTCATTAAATTAAAATTAGTTATTAACAGTTGTTTATCACGAGGTTGTATGATTTCATTTGTTGAGTTCACTCTCTATTATGAATTATTTTAATAGTAAATAATATAAAGTTTTTAACAACAAGTGAAAACAACATTTATTAATGTTAAAAGTTCGATGAGGTGAATGAATTACTAGGTGAAATTATTAAACATTAGAGCCTCAATTTCGATCAGCCATATATATATACAGCAAATGATACATGTTGACTAAAAGCTGGTAGAATGATTCTATGAGACGGACATCGTCAATATAAAGACTGGAACAGACATACATTGCCTCAAGTTTCCATATCTAATAACGTGACCAAATGTGAACAACAAATGTGGTGAAATAATGTGGTAGCGATGATTTAAAAAAGACTAAATATTGGGAATATGATTTGAAAAGATAGAGTGGGAGGGATACTGCAATTCAAGATAGAGAAAAAGATGAAGAATGAATGCATGTGGTTTATTGTGAACAATGCTGGGGCATGTCAGTCAAAGTTTACGATCACTGATTACTGTTATCAAGTGAATTCCAACTAGATAATCTGGATTCACTAACAGGACTTAAAAAGCTATTCATTACAAAAGTACACAATAATGAATAAATAGTAGGCAGTTGCAAAACTATAGTATTGATTCTTTGAAGTAACATGGCATTCAAATATAACGCTAGCAAGTACTTCTACTAAAAACACTTCATATTATATGAAACGGTTTAATGTGTCCTTTGAATTGATACAAAATAAAGGGGTAGTCTTATCCATAGATTGTAAAACAAAAGCATCATTCTGGTTTACTTAATTAAATTCACCTTGTTGCTTGTATAATTTATACAAGCTATACACAGAAAGCTTAATATAAATAAACAGGAATGCAATGCATTATACATGCTTTTATATGAAATACGATTGTCTTTCATTTATTTAAGTAATAATCTATCTAATTTGAAATACTGAGTAGTTTCTCATTATTTGGAACTAATTGAACCGCTTAGAAGTGGCTATCATTAGATCAAAAGAAATCACTTAATCTAAAGAGTTAAACGTAGGCAATTCAACTTTAAAAATAAACTCACCTCAACACTAACGACTGATTCAGCCAGGCTTGATGAGTCTTGCTTTCCTCGAGAATCTTCAGTCTTGTGGATAGCTTCTAAGCTACTTGTTGAAATGTTATCACCATGTATAACAGAATTCACAGAGCCACTTAAACTTCTTGTACGTTGTGTTAGACCATGTGATCCACATGTAGGTATAGGATTAGTAGTGTTACTTGTGCAATGATACATATGTCGTCTGGCACGATCATACACTTCCAAAAATGTATATCGAAGATCGAACGCGTATTCTTTACCTATTCAATTATGAGATACAAAAGTTTGTAAATTCAATATCAAGAGGTATTGATCAGTCATCAGTATTTTGTCAGTCGGATAAAACTTTTAGAAATATGTCAACATAAATCAAAACCTATTAGACTAGAAAGATACAAAGTTCTTAAGTTTGATAGAGTCACAAGTATACTGAGAATTTCAGCTTTTAACATTATTCAACTATATCATCAGTTAACTTATACTCACTATCAATTGAGGGGTAACGAAAAAAATTCTCGATGTATGCAGAAACTACTAAGTAATGCGTAGTTACAATCACATAAGAGGCTCTCTGATTGTACTCCAATTAACATATAACAGCTATACAACCACTTTTAGGCCGGTTGATGCTTTATAACCAATTAAAATTTTATAAATTTTCAATACCCTATGATAATTAAGGAAATTAGATTATAATTCTAGTCAGAGATTTATGATAGTAGTATATACCATAGAATTGAATATAACAAATATTTTTAATGAATTTATTTTAGTAACATATGTTAATAAAGTCATAATTAATAGTTTGAGAATGTACTGCATATGACCAAAAAATCTTGCAGCGTATTCATGATATCATAAAGATAATTTTGAAGAAAAGCTATTCACTATTAGTTTTAGTGAATATTCAACTACTAACCAATCATGATGAGAATCGTTCTTACATTGACCAGTAACCTCTAATCAGCGTGAGCTGAAATTCCAGTCATATTTGTCTAGTTAGATATGTAAAAAAGGAAATTAATTCACAAAGGATTTAAAATAAATTTATTCTGTACAAAAAAACTGAACCATTAACGTCATGTCACTAAGCTCACTTCATTCTATTTCAATCGGTCGATAAAGATGCGAGACTAAGTACAAACGTCTACTGGTCCAAGTTAACACGTTGCATGTCACCACAACAAGAGGAGGAATCGATAAGTTAAGAATTAAAATACACGAAATTTAATTCTGAACATCACATGTGCAAGTCGAGGAAATAAATTCAAAAATTAAGGATTTAAAGCGGGCAGGTTTCTCAGAATTTAGAAAATGGTTAGGAAATGTTTTTAATATTTCAAACACTGTTTTCCTTATGTAATAAAAATGTAAATATAACTAACCATTATGATCAAACATTGAAGTAAATGATTCTCGCACAGTTTGTTCAATTAAAGATTGTTTAATTGAATCACTTTGAAAAAAAGCATGAACTTCAGTAATTGTACGATAAAGAGAATAAGCTAAACGAGTTGATGATAATTGATAATTTTGTCCTTTAACACTGCCATCTTCTTCAAGCAAATTTAAAGTAACAACTCGTGCGCTGTTTGTGATTGTGTGTACTCGACAAAACGGAAAGCTATTTTTTTAAAAGGAGAGAAAGCACAAGCATATTATAGTGCAAATATACAATTCATGACAGTATGAATCGATAGTACGTGCGACAGAATAGCATATCTGATGGTAGGTATAACACCTTGATATAACAACTTTCGTATAAGTTATTGTTACTTATTTTTTTATAAGTTCAGACACATACATATTGGTACAAATAGGCACAAAAAAATAAGGGCCCTAAATGCACTGGTATGGCCGAGAGTGGGTTGGGCCCGCCCTCTCTCTCGAAATGCTTTCACACGGCCACGCGTATACAGCCTCTGTCAGGAAAGTCCTACTCACTGCCTCCTGGTAGCGGTGTTGTTTACGAAAATGAGAGGATGAAAAGCGAATGTCCGGCACTTTAATCGGATCCCAAACCAATGATGCACATGGGTTCCAGTATCCTGCGGGAACGAATGTCGTATGAACCAATCGCTGGTCACCTTGAGCATGCGGATGATAGTCTTACTGTGCGATAATGCCCAAGCCATGCAATCCGCACTTAATCAGTTGGCGATCAGTGTCCGTAGGTACGGTATGAGCTTTGCACCTTCGAAGTGCAAAGTACTTCTACAAGACTGGCAGGATTCTAATGTTGTATTCAACCTGGATGGTGAGCAGATAGAAGTAGTTTAGAAGTTCGTTTATCTAGATAGCTGCATAAGTGCTGGTGGTGGCGTGAGTGATGAGATCAATGCACGTACAGTGAAAGCCAGAGCGGCTTATGCCAATCTGGGTCATCTTTAGCGCCTTCGTGATGTTAGTCTGGCTGTAAAAGGTCGGATCTACAACGCGTCGGTGAGAGCAGTTTTGCTCTATGCTTGTGAAACCTGGCCTCTCCGAGTTGAGGATGTTAGACGACTCTCTGTGTTCGATCATCGTTGTCTCTGAAGGATTGCTGACATCCAGTGGCAACGCTATGTCAGTAGTGATGTCGAGGTTCAGCATCGTGTGTTCGGGCGCAGAGACGATAATCCAATAGATGTCACCGTCTTGAAACATCGACTTCGGTGGCTTGGACATGTTCTACGAATGTCATCCCAGAGAATTCCACATCGTGCATTATTTGTCGACTCTGGGACTGGTTGGAAAAAGCGGAGAGTTGGTCAGTGTATGACATGGTGTCGGTGTATGGAAGAAAGCTGCAAAGGGCTGGCTTCTGTTGGTTCTTCACGACTTTCTGGCTGGGGTTTGAGAGATGGTGCAACACAGTAGCTATAGAGACGTTATCAGATATGGCTCAGAATAGAAGCCAGTGGCGATCCTGCTGTAACCTTCTTTTACTTCATATAAAGTGGTTGTATCCTCCTTAATTGAAAGATTTCTCCTGGTTGTACCTTTCCGTTTCCCCCATTATTACCATTATTACACTATCTTACACTGATCTGTTCGTCATTGTTCTTTTTTTTGAGCTCATTACCTTCTTTTGTTCTCTTCGAATTCTCATTGCTTTGTGTGGCGCATATATATTTGGTGCTTCCTTGTACCAATATTTATGTGTTCAAATAGATAAATAAATATAAGCCACATAATAAAAGTGAGATTGTGGAGAGACAGACAAAGGAAGGTGAGTGTAACAAGAAAAATGCAACCAAAATGAATAGTAATTGGTGAATGAGGGTGAAAATAATTATTATAATAATGGGAAGAGTCGTTCAGTTAAGAAAAATGTAATGCAGAAAAGGAGTGATTTAATTTGGATAGAGCTTTGTTCTTTGAACTGGATGATTTGGTCGTGGAGCTTTCATTGTTCTTCTTAACGACATTATCAGCACAAAATACAAGTTTATGCTGATCATGTTGTTCAGAAGGACGATGAAAGCTTCAAGACCAAACCACCCAGCTCAGAGGAGAAAACTACATCAAAATCATTCGCCTGGGCTACAAGTCTTCTCCATCATCTCAAAGATTGATTTGATTGAAGGACTTCCTCCCACTTACATAAATAAAGTAAAAGGAAATTACAGCAGGACCGCCACTGGCTCCTATTTTGAGCTATGTCTGATAACATCTCAAGCCACTGTGTTGCATTGTCTCTTGGACACCCAATCAAGGAGTTGTGAAGGACCAACAGATGATATTCCTGTGCAGTTTTCCTTCATAACACAGTACCATATCATAAATTGATCACCTCTCCGCTTTTTCCAACTAGTCCCAAGAGCCGGAGAATAACCCACGTTGTGGAGCTTGCTAGGACGACATTCGTAGGACATATCCAAGCCTTTGAGGTCGGTAATTCAACATGGTGATGCCACTTAAAATGTCGACACTGTGCCCTAATACACATTGTCGAGCCTCTGTATTACTAATATGGTGTTGCCACTGGATGTCGGCAATCCTTAGGAGTTAACAATGATCAAATATGGACAGGCTAGAATTCCTAAGCATAGAGAATTGCTTTCCCTGACGCTCTTTAAATCCGGCCTTTTACAGCCAGACTAATACCACGAAGGTGCCAAGGTTGGAACAGATTGGTATGAGCCTCTTTGGCCTTCACTACACGTGAATTGGTCTCGTCACTCACACCACTGCTAGAACGTACACTGATACCTAGATACATGAGCTTCTCGACTGCTTCTATCTGCTTACTACCAAGAGTTAATGCAAACACAGGCTACTGAAATGTTTGTAAAAGTACTTTACGGTTAGAGGGTGCAGAGCACATGTGATACCTACGGACACAGATTGCCGAGTGAATAAGTGCAGATTGCATGGCTTGAGTATCATCGCACAGTAAGGAAATAACATCCGCATACTCAAGGTCCAAAAATCTTTCTCCAGGTAGCCCATCTACACTACCATTGTCGATTTCCGTCAGAGCTGTTTTCAAAACGTCAACTAATGGTAAGGTTGAACAGGAATGATGAGACTGGGCAATCTGCTTAACCCCATTGCTTGGATAAAAAAATAGAGAGAGACGGTTGCATTTATGGCCCTCAAAATGTTAATAAGCTTCTTGAGCACACCCTTCTTCAATAGACAATCCCAGAGGACAGTCCTGACCAAGGAAGTGAAGGTCACCTTGATATCAAGAAACACAACGATTGTCGGCCTACATTTATCGAAGAGCGAAGACTATTACATCCTTGACCAGAACGAAAACTAATCTTTCCCGGATTTTGAACAGTATGCGAAGTTTGATGGTAGCCAATAATTTGGATGCAATCGGGAGTAGACTTATACCCCGATAGTTGTTGTTTAGGCTACAAAAATAAAACGTTGAATGGTATTTTGCCTTGTGCTACTCAAACTCACTAGGGCCTTTAATGACTGGATTGGAGTGATTGTATCAAACAATTGTTTGTGGTTCAATTTATTCCGACCAAAAGCTTAAAATGTAATGTTGTTTATGAACTACTTATTTGGACCAGTAGTATATCTCTTTAGTTCAAGATGGATCCTAATCGATGATTTCATTCTTGTAGCCTCAATAAGATGAATTTTAGCAAATATTCATCTCTAGTATTACATATGTCGATCACAGATCAACTAATTTTGACAAATACTAAATTTTCAATTTGTAAATTATTCACAAAATCTAAAGAACCCATAGGATTTGGAACCCATTTTAAGAAAATTGAAGGTTTCCATAACAATAAGCAAAATTATGGACGTAAAAAGGGATATATTTACCTATTTGGAAGGGACGAAACTCAGCCACACACAGCCTTAGCAAACTGAACGAAATACAGATGAGAAAGGTGTCCAAATAATTAGAACCTATTAAGAGATCCATCCTAAACTATTGACTAAAAGCGCCACACAAAATAAAACCATACTTTTCACATAACGTTTGCATTTGTATTTTCTACTCAAAACGTGACGGTATAAACGTGTTTTTATGCTTGAGTTTGATACCAATGATTATGCCACCGTTGTTCGGTAAATGATTTAGTTTATGGTCTAGAATTTTAACGAACACAATATAAAACCAACTTATTCACTAAACATGCAAATATCTAAACACAAAAGGCTGAAATAACTGAACAAATATTAACATTGAAACATTGAGTCTAGATTATATATGACTATAATATTAGCAATATAAGTAACAATAGTAGTACGCAATTACATCTGTAAGTGCAAATTGTTTGAGGTCAGAATGGACTCAAACAATCGCTTTTAACATAGGAATTATACATGTAAGCAAATGGAATTGATTAGTAAAATTCAAATCAGAATTTTTCTGAACAGAGCTAGGTAAAATATATGGTCTGACAAATAATTGATTAAATAATTCATAGTGATATCTCACTTCATTTTTACAAAATAGTAATACGGAACTATTTTACTACAAAATTTATTAAAACCAAGTAAGTTAAAAATAATGTAACAGTTGGAGTCAGAGAAATATTAGTAGTTTGGTAGTCATGCAGTTCTTTAAAATGGCATATTACTATAAACTTGAAAATATTCAAAGGTAGACTCGATAAAAATATTATTCTTAAGAATTTGATTTGATCATAACCAAAAGTACTTAATACATATTACGATATACAGGCGCCTTTCAAAATATTCTTGAGTTAATATGGAATCCACCAAATATGTGGAAATGTAATGACGCGACAAGAACACAATAGCAATAATAATTGAAAAACGCATAGAATATAAAATAAAGTAACACAAGTGACCAATGTGCATAAAATAACAGTGTTTTTATTTCTTAATATCAAGATCAATGTAAAGCACATTGACTTCAACTTGTTTAGGGCCATATCGTTTTATATATATTCAAATTACTCGGCTATGTCCAGTTTTGATTCTCCACAAAGCCTGCAGTAATAAGAAGTTAACAAAAGCGTTACGTAACTAAGCCGTGTGATTTTTTTGATTTACTACCACATTAGGCAGAATATGACACCGAGTTTAGTACAGTTAACTAAAGTACCTTAAGTTTTTAAAGTGCAACTGCAACCACCAGTATTGATTAAGTTTTATAACCATCTGAATTACATATTTGGTATTTTAAAAATAAAAACTGAATAACATAAACAGTGACGAAATTCGTGGAAATAAAACATAATTATCAAGGTTTTTTCTTATATTACATACAAGAAACAAGGCTTGAAAACACGCCTAAACCAAAGTTTATAAACTTAGAATACGTATAAAGATACTAAGAAAACTGGAAGCGTGAGGAAAATACAAAACTATTAAAGATGGAGGAAACATTTGTCCCAATAATCATAATTTCATCAAACAAAGGTAAGAAGTGTTGCATTTGAGAGGTTTGTTAGAGGATTAATCAAACCCTTAGAAACTTCAAGGGACGATTTTGTTTTACTTTGGCTGCTCCTGAATTTCCACTAATTTAATTCCACGAAAACAATGACGGGATAGACTGAGGCTACGAATATATTAAAATTTAGAGATTTTAGGTAGTACAAGTTAATAACTTAACTAAAATATCCTCTCCAGCTAAGACCTTGTATTTAGCCCGAAATTTGATGAATCACTATATATACTTTATGAACATAAGATATCTAAGGAGCTGTTGATGGGCAACTGAGATCTAAGCATTTTATTCGATAGTAACAATTCAGTTTGACAGTCCGAAATCAACACAAAACATTCTATGTTAGATACTTATACTGGAAGGAAATTAGATGTGTCAACGGACTTATTAATGATATTGGTTACCAGATATTAACTGAGGCTTTATCTAAACCCAAAATACAAGGGACAGTTTAGATCCAGCAAGTAAGGTGTTAACAAACAAAATCATGTTGTTTCTTACTCCAGTTCTCAGTATTATGTACTAAGATGAAATGAAGATCCTAAATACTCTTGGATATCCTAATGGATTCAGCTGACCCAAAAATTAGTCAACTATAAATATTCATTTGTTAGAAAACGTTCCCAGTTAATGTAAGCAAGTGAGGTGAGGTAACATCCTAATGTTTTTCTTTAAATAAAACATATACCTTCGATAAATTTCAAATAGTTATCATCATGAACCAAAACGCATTTAACAACCTGCGTTGAACAGGACTTCTGTATTACTTTAACGGGTTCACCAACTTCATTAATAAAAGAAAGAATAGTTAATTTCTAAATAATTACAAAAATATTGCATTAAATTGCTTACAATTGTTCGATTCACTTATTTTAATTAAAATGATATATCACATTAAGCGCAAAATGAAATGATGGAATATTTAACCTCGAAGGATGAAAAGTGGAATTGTCATTCTAACTGAAGAAACAAAATGTATTTATCAAAAAACATAGAGAAGTAGAATTATGATTCGTTCAACACTGTCTCTAAGTATTTATTTTAAGCACAGATTGTTTCACAAAAAAAACCCTAAGAGACTTGGTAGTTCGTTTCATTTAAAAGCAGAAATCGGCTAACTAAAACGTTTTAGTTTGTTCACAACTATTTTAAATCCACTTAATATAAAGTCAAAGTAATGAATGGCAAATAATGTGAAGATTAAAATTTCAAATACACAGACATTTTGTCAAGAGATTTTTGCTCAGTTTAGACTTCAAGTGACTGAGCAAAGTAACTTTAATTCCATGTTTATTTGGACACGAACTACACTTCTACACACATGAAAACTTAGATAACGTGTTTTTATTATTGCACGCACACGTAAACGATATAACGAACAAACGTTAATGATAAATAAATGAAATTCTAATAACATAATGTAATGGTTATGGACTGATGACCAAAAATAAATAGGAAATATCGGTAGTGGTTATTCAAATAGACGTCCTAGAGAAAGTAAGTACTTGGCAGAATCCTAAGTGGAAGGTTACGCGGTTTTAAATAAAATTTCGAAATAACATATTAAGTATCCGAACGGTTGAGCTTAGCCCAAAAGGGTTCCAAAGAACGCCATTATCGAGAACATATATATGACAGTTTTAGAAAGTGTACTTAATTTCATTTTTGCATTAGTGTTACTACTTTAAGTACGGATAAACAATAAATACACATTATTAAGAGGATGTTTACCGATCGATAACGCCTCCAGTAGAGTTGCACAAAACAATATCACTAGGACCAACACCAAGCAATAACTTGCGATCAAATATATTCTTCACATCATAGAAATATGTTCCATATGAGGGAAATTCTCGTGAAACTATAGACAAAAGTTCATATTTTGCGTGGGAAGTGGTAATATCTTTTAAGTCTTTATGAAAAGCAGCAGCCATACGAATAGCTTCCGGTGGAATTTCGTTGCGACATTCGGGCCAAAAGCAAGCATACTTGCATGGAGTGGTGTTTGGGTTGTAATTTCCAAACTGTATGTATGCCATGAGGGCAATTAATTGTGACTGTGTTTCCAGGGTGGTGTCAGCGTCCCAAGATCCGTTTTTTAAATGATATACGACGTTTGTGTAAAACTGATGTCTGTAAAAGTACGGTTTCAGTCTATTATTTGACATTACCTGGTTTCCTCGAGTTGAAGTGTAGATGGTTGAACAAAATACTTCACTCTAAAATATAGATGGTATGGAGGGGGCCCTGGAATTTGCCTTGATAACCTGTTTCTGCTGTTAAGCCAAAACAATTCGTTTCTCGATCCTGCTAACAGGATACCAAAATAACTAGCTTCTTCAGTAATCCCTATCAATTTACATATCTTAGAAATAACTTTGAGGAAACATCATAACATACTTTATCTATGACTTCCTGACATTCTGCTTTATGATCGACTTCAACCTGATAAACCTGACTACTTGCAAGCGTAACGTAACACATAAGAGTAGTTGAATTTCTTCCAGAATCGCCACCATTTCGACTTGGATGACGCTTGTTATTGTAAAGCTCGTGCAAATTCTGGAGCGCCATTGGTACTAGTTGGCATGTAGTACCAAACGTTTTTCAGTAACAACTTCGTAGAAACGAGGTTTAATAACTTAGAAAGCATAGAAATATCGCATGAAGTTGGACAAGATTTAAAAACAGCCACTCAAAAAGACCAACTAACTGATGTAATTAAACACAATCACATGACATTGTCTTGTCGATTTAATGCATGCATTGCTGCGATTTGAAAAGATACATGATTTTCAATTCTAATTAACTTCGGGAAACTAGTTTTAGTTGCATGAATGTGCAATATGTTTCCAAAGTAATTAGGATCGTAAATCATCAAGTTTAAACCTAATCTTAAACGTTTTGACTGATATTATCAACTGAAGAGGATCAATCAATCGTTCAAGTAACCTTGTAAAGCAAATCGTCTGAGATAATTACTCCCTGTGGTGTAGTTAGCTCAGACGTTTTACATCATTATATGTGCGTAAAAAGAACTTCCTTAATAAACTATTATCAGGCACTTCCTTGTTTGTATTCTTGTTTTTACAACTAAAGCATCTAGTTTCGAGTGTTTTCGCGCTAAAAATTTTGAGAACGTATTTAATTCAGTATTTATAACTGAAATATTTGGCTTGAGTGATGGGTCTGCTTAAAGATTATAAATAGCTTCAGGGTTCGACAACACTTTTGTCTGTAACACGATCATGTTTGAGGTATATCATACCAATGAAGTCAGAAGTGATAAACGAATGTGTTTGAAGATATATTTGGACGTTTGCCGATATGATAGGGTGTGTTTTATCTATTGTGGTTAGTACTTGCAAGGTAAGTATATCACGGCGTACCTAATCATGACATGGTGTGGATGCATGACCGAGCACCTTCATTCATGATGACGCTGCGTCCATGATTTTTCGTCACGATTGGACGATCCCTACCTGTAGATGTGTCGCATAATACGATTTCCTTACCCGTCGCCATCTGTTTAATACGCAGTCTAAGGGTTGGTGAATATAACTCATGCTGAAGATTGATGTCTTCTTGTTGAAGCCGAGTGAGCTCAAGGAGATCAATTCCTTGGAAAATGTTCGGGGAAATTATACGAGACAGGCGTCTGAAACTACATTGCCTGCTCCAAAATTGTGTTGTATATGTAAAGTAAACTGCGAAATGTGGTCCAGTTGTCGAGACTCTCGAAGGTAGTACTTGTCTGAAGACGAGCTCAAGAAAAAGGTAAGAGGTATATGATCAGCGAAAAGAGTGAATTCTCGGAATCCTATAGAGTGTTGAAAGTGGCGTACAGCACAATACATAACTAGGCATTCCCTACCGAAAGCGCTATACCTCGATTCGGTGTCTAGCAACCGTCTCGAGAAGAATGTCAAAGGTTGCCAGGAGTGGTTAACCCACTGTTGTAAAACTCCTCTGATTGCTGTTTCCGATGCGTGATATTAATGGGTGCTTAAGTGTCTCGGTGTGCAAGCAAGGTTGATTTCGCGATAAGTTCCTTAATTGTGGAGAATGCTGTTCTCACGGTATCGTACAAACTGATGGGTTTTTCATTTCCACGAAGTTTTTCAGTTAGAGGATTTATAAGGAATGCGCATTTTAGTATGAGCTTTCTATAGAAACTCACAAGGCCGTTAAACGTGCGTAATTGTTTGATTGTGGTCGGTTCCGAGTAGTCCAGAATGGCCGCGTATTTGCTTTTCAGAGGATGGATGCCTTCATCATCAATAGTGTGCCCTAGGAAATCGAAGCGGTCAGTTCCGGTTTGGCATTTCTGAATGTTTACAGTAGTGCCGTGCTCTGTAGTTATTCTAGGACAAGGTTCAGTTGCTGGAGATGAGATTCTCTATCTGGACTTGCGATCAACCTGTCATCGATGTACGCATATGTGAAGTTGATACCTCGAAAAACGTAGTCTATGAACCTTTGGAGAGTTCTGACAGCCGTTCTTAAACCGAAAGACATTCGCAAAAATTCGTAGAGTGCTAAGGGAGTAATAATGGCGTTTTCAGGAATGTCGTCAGCAGCCAAAGGAACTTGATCATATGCTTCAACCAAGTCGATATTCGAACAAACAGTTCTACCTTTCAAGTTATCAATGAACTCGTGAATATGAGGCAACGGATATCGATCAGGAATGGTTTCCGCATTCAATCTCCGAGAGTCACCAGTTTTTCACCAGTCGTTGCTGTCCTCTTTAGGGACCAGATGCAAGGAAGATGCCCATAAACAGTTGATGGCCGAACGATTCCTGGTCTATCATGTGATCGAGTTCGATCTTAGTCAAACTCAGCTTTTCTGGAGCTGGTCTTCACGCTTTCGAGAATACAGATGGTCCCGAGGTTGTAATGTCATGTTCAACACTGCTGGTTACACGTGGTAATTCCGGTTGCGTTTGGTATATTACAAGGTACCTACGAGTATTTGTTGGTTGTATGGATGGATCGCGTGCCTTACTATGACTGGTGATAATCTACAACCGGAAAAAGAAGTTGCACAAACAGATAAATTAGTAATTCCGTCTACTAACCTTCGTTTGCGCGTGTCGACAAGTAATTTATGTTGTTGTAGCGGGTATATATCAATGATTGGCGTAGAAACATCTGCAACAACGAAGATCCGGTGGATGAGTTTGTGTAAACCAACGTAAAGATATGCATATCGCCAACTGTATGTGGCGATTGGTCCCCCAATTCACGCCTGTGAGTTCAAAACTGCTTCAAGCAGTAAGCCGTTAGAATTCGCTGGAAGAACGTTAACGTCTGTGTCGGCATCGATGAGGTAGCGAACTTTCGAAGTCACATCAGTGGAGTATAACAGACGGCTATGTTTTCCAACTACGGTTACCGTTAACGCGTTGTGGCTGGGAAGTTTCCCGAAACGTTTTTCATGTCGGTCGGTTTAGAATTCAAAATGTTGCAAAGTTTTCTGAGATTTCGAGATTTTTTGTACTGATTATGATTCGAGCACCATTCTGGGTTATCTGCTTCTCGTGATCTAGAGACAGATCGTTTTCGTGAAGAACTCCTTCGAGGGGTTTGTGATCGTTTACGGTCATGACAAATACGAAGGTAACATGTCAGAATGTGACAAGGTTCAGTAACGTCATTTCGTGTTGTTTAAGGTTTTTCCTTGACTAAAAATAATCGGCCTTAGACGTTCTGCTAATCTCCACAGTTCGGTCGACAGATGCAGCCAACTTGTCCACAGGGTTGGTTTGAGACGAGACAAGCAGTGCCTGCAGCTGTTTAGGAAGCTTAGACGAGAACTGTTGTCTAAACAAGCCATCGTCGAAAGTCCCTAGACCAATTACCTCTCTCATTCGTAACACCATTTCCGTTGCTGATCAATGTTGCAGATCGATGTTATCGAGGAATTGATCTAACCTTTGTCGATCACTTAGATCTACGAGTTTTAGAATAGACCGTTTTAGAGTTTCATGAGGTTCCGAAACATCACTAGTAAACATACTAGGTGTGACGTACCTGCCGAATTCGTGCGGTAGTGCCTTTACTACTGCACGGAATTATGCACGTGGATCGGTCACGCCGTGCCCGTAGAAGTCAGACTCTGTGTATAAGAACCGGGCTTAGATATTGTCCGGTCAGCATGGCATTAGCGGAAATGAGGGTGGTGTCATAGTATTGATCTTAAATTCCTTAGGAGTCTGTCCTGTCATGGAGAATATAAAGTACAGGAATGACATATGAAGTTCCGATAATGAACAGACTCACTGTTTACAAGTTAGTGTAACAGATCACGGCAGGCTCATCAATGAAGACGCCACAAGTATTTGTAGTTTGACAACATTTTAAGCAGTAACACCTTCTATAATTGAATCTTCCCCACCCAGTGAAATCAAAAGTCAGAAGCGAACATCACATTAGTTCTGATGGCAATTGACTATCAACCACACGATCCTTAAAGCCGTGAATACAATAACTGAAGCGATCTGCATTCTACGTTTAACTCGGTGGACGCTGGAACAATTATTAGGTATACCATAGCTAGAACATGTGAGCGTTGTCACACTATGCAAATTCTTACGTTTTACATTAAATGCCTTATTATATACCCATTCAAAATGTATTCTTCAGGGTCCCAAATGCAAGTTTAAGAACATTCAAACGAAACTTAACCTCATCCGAACTATTCACTACTTATTGCCTCACAAATATCCATTCAGTGTTCAGAATATACTGATCTCGAAGCTGTAAAAATCACTGAAAAGTTTATTGACTATATATTATCTGAAGCGTCTATAACCTTTGATGATACAAGGATATCGAAGGAGCTAGACTTCCCCCGTATGACGATTGGCCTTTGAATCACGACCCATTTCGTGACCAACTTTTTGTTTCATCATTCCGTGTTAACCTGTGGCACAAAATACTTATCTCTTTCTGTAGCGTATTGTTCTTGTCGTCTAACGTTGTGTTATGTAGTTTAGGACTCGTCTTTTTGCCTTTCGTTCATTCTGTCAACTATTTACTGCCATATTGCCTAAATCAGCATCGCGCTTCCCGACTACTACAATCTGTTGTACGCTCAACAGAAGAGGGATGAAATGCAGCTGGTAAAATATGTTACTGCCTACTTTTCTGTTCGCTAGTAGACTTTTCTCATCGCAGAGAAGTTATATCTCCCATTTGCACCTACTTCAGAAGCTGGTCAACAGTTTGTTGGTCGGTAAAAGATAAGGACTTAGTAACGGCTTACTTTAATACGTCATATAACACTTCGTTTTTCTTTCATTCTTCCCTTCTCTGAATTCTCTTGACTCATGCCATAGAGAGAATATGGAGTCAAAGGAAGGAGTTTAGCCAATCGAATGATATACGCTTTAATATATTGCCAAAGGACTTCATAATTTAAAAATACTGTCTCATAATAGAACACGAAACGAATTCTACGAATTTACTAAAATTTGAGGTAAAACAGTAGAATTTTTAGGAGTTGAATTTGTCCTCTGGCAGTTGAGTATGAATGATATTACAAAAATTACTATTGATTTGATGAAAAAATAACGTCGTTGGTTTGGAATAATAGTAGAAAATAACACCTTCAACCTACAAAATTTCATGTAAGTAGGTCACTAAAATTAAATCAGCCTTTATGTCATAAGATCCAAAAGGAGAACAGTTGAATACGGAAGCGATAATCAACCAATAAACTGGTAACATTAGGCTGATAAATGAAAGAAAAGGCTCGATGAAAAAAGGTATGCTTACTAAAACACTACAGTATTTAAATGCTTCAAACTACTGACTAATTATGAATAGTGTGATAAAATATACGAAAATGTAGGAGGAAAAGAGCCAAACGAAAGAAATAAGTATCATCAAATTACCTATCAAACCACGCAAACATGAAAGCAAAATACTACCCAAGTTATTTTTAAAACTACTTTGATACTCAAGAATTACTTCATCCTTAGTTTATGATTTTAAGTTTTCGATATGTAAGCTTAATCAAAACTTAAGTTTCTTGATTATCAGTTTGAAGGTAGAAGTATATTAAAACATAGATATTAAAAATAGTTCACAGCATAATTAAGAATAGGCAGAAAAAAGGAAATCCATTTCGTCAAATTATCGTGAAAAAACGAATATATCATGCGAATCCCAATTTCTACAAAATTTACACATTTTAGATTGGTCTCAACAGTTAGTTACGTCTTATTGAAGTTATAACTAGAATTGATTAAATTAGTGTACTTGAGTCATGGTAAAGTTTTAAATGAGATTTTAATTCAGCACTGAGTGTCTCAAAACGTAGCACTTTATCTCATAGATAAAAATTCTCAGTAATTTACCGAAGGATATAGATCATTATGAGTGCAGTAACTGCGTTGGAGGACGTTGTGCCGATGCAGCAGAATTACTTTATTATTTTCTAACAGTTGGTGCTTTATGCTCCGGGACATAAATACTAATGCTAATCAATAATCAGCTAACATAAAACAGAGATGAGTTGGTAGATTTATACAAATTAAAAAAATATTTCGTTTTGTTATTTTAGTGAATTCTAGCAAATGAACAAGATAGTCATACCTTACACCAACTTCATACTAAATTTTTTGTTCATCGGTATAACTAGATGAACACGAGAATGTTATCATACTTTATTGAAATTTACATGATTTGAATATGCAAAATCACAAGCGTGTTCTAGTCTGCCATTAGATGTAACGATCGCTAATTTATCTTTAGGTAGGATGGCTGACAAAATCTAGACAAAAGGATGATATATATATATATATTCTCATCTTCATCTAGTTATATCGATGAACAAAAGATTTAGAATATATATAAGCAAACAATATTATTTCCAATTAGGTCTTCATCAGGTTTAACTATGATATACATTATTATTTATATGCATATACAAAATTACTGAATCAATTAAGGTAGTTTATAAGTCAATGATCACAGTAGAATAGATTAAGTAAGAATTACGAATTGATAGTGTGATGGAAGATGTGTTATTTTTGATACGAATAACAAAAGCTTGAATCAATGTTTCATAACAGAAAATAGGTCAATAATCTGAAAAATATAGACACTGAAATAACATTCATAAAAATTATAAGATTACGTAACAAGGTATGTTCAGATAGTTGGACAATCAGGCGTATATTTGAAAAAAGTTGGTCGAAGAAAATGGACAAACAAATTGTATGGAAAACAATGATAAGTAAAATTTTTTTTAAAGGCTTATTCAGCCAAAGAAGAAATTAAGGGAGTTATAAATTTCTTATGAATACAAAGACCTGAATTGTTAGTCCAAATTCCTATGACTTCTGTCATGCGTAAAAGACAAGATGGAACCCCCTACTGACTAATAAACTACCTTAATTGGTTTAATAATTTTGTATATGCATATAAATCTTGATGCATATCACAGTTAAACCTGTTGAGGATCTAACTGAAAACAATATTGTTTGCTTATACATGTTCTAAATCGATGTTGGTATATACTTTTCGTATGATGAAAGGAGATATGTCACACAACACAATGAACATTATGATAATTAGGTTAACTTTCATTGTTATTCATTCATTTGGATGGATTTTGAAAACAAATAGTTCCGGTCCAACATATATTTATTTCGCTAGTCTATTAATACTATGATAATGATTGAATTCATGCGACTGAAATGCCATGGTGACAGCTGTTATTTAAAAATGAATGACTTTAGCCATTACTTAAATGTTGTTATAGAAAGTTGGGATCAAACAAAGAAAACAGTTTATTAACAAATGTAAAATAAAAAGATTTACGGAATCAGAAAATTTTGAAAACGTGAAATTAATGAAAACGAATTTGCCGTAAACAGGCAGCTGACTGAAAGCCTAAATATTTAGGGTCAGTTAGACAAATATCAAGTTTTCAATTCAATTTGAACCTGTTTTTGAATTGTTGAAATTTTGACTGAAATTAAATCAGTTTTGGTTGACATATGCACTTCCTGTGAGAATTTCCTCTATAAAGCCAACATTACTTAATTACTTACGCCTGTTACTCCTCGTGAAGGAGCATGGGCCGCTCACTAGCATTCTCCATCCAACCCTGTCCTGGGCAATCCTTTCCAGCTCCTTCCAGTTGTTATTCATACTTCGCATATCTGCCTCCAATTCTCGACACATTTATAAATACGTGTACCTTCTTGATGGTGGTTGATTTAGTTCTCCAAGTTTCGGCTCCGTACTGTAGAACTGCTTTAACGTTCGAGTCCCAGAGTGAACACCAACTCGAATGCAGGTACATTCATCTGACAAGACTTAGATTCCACTGCAAGTGAAATTCCATCTATTTTGTTTTATTAAATTATAAGATTTATGAAGGAATCACGAATTAATTGTCAAAGTGAGGTTGTTGTCGTACTGTAATGTCTAAAGTGAAATATACTTTGAGTGACATTTCTAATCACACTACATTTTATTGGATATTTTGTAAATTTTTGAAAATACCTTAAATGGAATTTGTTGATAAATGATGTAAATAAACATCAATATTTATGTAGCTAATTTATTGTTTATATATTTTTTTAAATGAGCATTTATTAGGTAGTATTATGGATTTAATAATAATTTCTCGCTTTCTGTTGATTCAGACATTATAGCGATTGTCATTTACGATAAACTGTAGATTTGTTATCAAGTTTTTTGTTAAAAGTAAATCATCGGTGGATAATTGTTCGTTGTATTCTTGTACTTAATTAGTATAATCACATATAAGTTAAGGAATGAAATCACAATATACTTCTGACTAAATCTTGTTCGATCTGCTGCTATGCCGTATTTAAGTTTTGCAATCTGTAAATTAGTATAGAACAACTGAATAAAATAAAGAATCCGACTTTTAGAATAATCAGAGTAAGAATTAAACTCGTAATGACAGCTAAATTAAATTTTTTTCTTTAATTAAACATTCCAATCACAGATTATGGTCAGTAACTGTAGTTTTATCCTTATCGTCAAAATATATGGTAGATCACTACAATGGATTTTGTCTTATTTATTTCATGATCACAATCAACCAAATATGATAAAACAGAGCTAAGCATAGAATTTATTTAGATGTATCCAAACTATTCAAAAAGATGTTCATTCACATATTGGTTACATGAATTGAAAAAATTTCTGATTTATTTTTCGTCACAGAAATAACTGAATTGATCGATGCACACTGAAGTGGCAAAAACAGGTAGCCGATACTTTATTTTAATAAATAATATTAGTTAACAGGAAAATGGCAAGCAACAGTAGGCTTCATGTCATGTTTTAATCGGTCTGGCTAGTCATTATTATCCTTATTACTACTAGTTGACCTGATATATTTTCTACTCAATGATCGATCGTTTGCAAATTATAATTAACTATATGATCTACTTCATTATTATTATCAATGACTCATAAATTGGACTGACTGATTTATATTTCCGATATATTTCAATATTACTGTGTATTCAAGTAAAGCTTGATAAAGATCTTATTGAAAACAACTTTGTTTGTTATATGTTTTGTTCTAGTCTTCAAAATAATAATTTTTAATCTTTTTATTAAGTCAAATGTTGTATTTAGAGATATACAAAATCTCATTGTTGAAAAATTCCCAATATCTACGATAAATATCTATTCAGGTAGTCTTCAACAATTAAATGAATGTAAAGTCATTTATTTAAATTCAGTAAAATAGTGTTCATATCTTGTCAGACATAATAAGGTAAACTAATTTTTTATCTTAAATACCTATTTTTACCAATGGTAGATGGAAACACGATTGATTACATTTACGCAATTAAATTATCAGTATGGGGTTGTGGAGATTGTTAAGTTTTTTTGGTTGAGATCATGAATTAATTGATGTTAGACCACCGTTGGAAACCTGGAAGCACTGGACGGCCGTTTCGTCCTAGTATGGGACTCCCCAGCAGTGCGCATCCACGATCCCGCGCCCCGTGGGATTCGAACCCAGGACCTACTGGCTTCGCGCCTGAGCACTTAACCATTAGACCACTAAGCCGGCATCCAATGGTGTTAGTGTCTAACATCAACCAATCCACGAAATTGCGCGACCACCTTCCATTGTACTGAGGTAGATACCTGTCTCCACCCGACACGGATTAGCTCCACTGGTCACGACTTCTCACTAGAATTCCGAGAATTCCCTCACGAAGCTTGTCACTAGTGAGCACATGTTAATTATCAGTATGGGGTTGTGGAGATTGTTAAGTTTTTGGTTGAGATCATGGGTTCGAATCCCGCGGGGTGCGGGATCGTGGATGCGCACTGCTGAGGAGTCCCTTACTAGGACGAAACGGTCGTCCAGTGCTTCCAGGTTTCCAACGGTGGTCTAACATCAATTAATTCGTGATCTCAACCAATTAAATTATATCAGGTTTTTTTAAAAAAAATAAATCTGTGAAATAAGTTACATATGAAAAGAGCTTTAAAAGTAGTAACAATCAGATAATTGAACAAATATCACTTACTGATGTGTATTAGGACTTTAATCACTAATCATTCTATATAAATCTGAAAACAAATCGACTGATCAGATTGGTGTGAAAGATAAGTTTATTGTCAGTGTGACAAAGTTATCAGTCAAAGATTCAGTAAATACATTCGGGTTTTCAACGATACACATTAGAAAATATAACCTCGTGTCCAATTGTAAAGTGTTTCTTCAAAAAAGAAAAATCACAATGAAGAAAAATCGTTGACCAAGACACATTACGTCGAAAAAAAATAAATCAAAATGAGGAGTTGCTAAATGTGATTGTTTTTTTACTGTCAGATGGATAAACAACAAAAAGAATATATAATAATGAGAAATTAGTAAAGGTTGTGTTTTCAGTTAAATAATTTTATATCAAATATTGTATCAAGTGGAGAAGTTTGTTTTACATTTAAATGAGTGTCACCAACTGGTAAATTATAAAATGGATTATTGGTAACATTTTTATTATTAGTATACACATTATTTGGCTTAGTTTGGATATGCTGTGTTGTTGTCCAGCTACACAAATTATCATCCATTGGGGATATTTTAGTCTAAAATTGAAAATATAATGCATGTTATTATACTAAAATAAATATCATAGTATAATTAACAAAGAATACTAAAACTAAAATCTATTACATATTTTATCATAAATTGAAACAAAGTACACGCAAACTGATGAATTACACCAAACAAGTAGTTATTTTCACTTAGAGGAAAAAATAGTAACAACCAACGCCTTGCAATAAAAATTAGCTTTGCGAAAACTCAGTTAGTGAAACCACTGGATATTAGGTAAACACTTGAGAACTTGTCCTCGATCAACAATTCGTTTATGCTCATTTAACATTCACTGACAACCGAAAATAAGTAGCTTTTTTATCTAAGGTGTTTTATAAACAACATTTAAATCAAATTGACGGGATATTCATTTATTAATCTTTAATTGAACACTTGTGTATTGTTTGGGAGATTCGGTGTGTTAGCATTATAAAAACTGATTAATATTCCTGATAAATTGTCACTGTACCATCACTAAACCACACAGATGGAAAACTCACATTTGAATTCAAGTAATGGAATCCTATATTGGTGATGAGGAATCATTTTACTATACTATACCATAGAAAGCTTCAAAAATTTAGGATATATCAGAGGAATGCACTGCTATTTAAAATATAATATCAAGGTTATAATATGATTTCAGAAAAGATCCTTAACATAACTATATCACGAAATAAGAGGCAATCATTGTAATGATTATTTTTGGAGCTATAATATGACAGACATATATAATATTTATTTATAAACCTCTCCTTTACAGTAATCCCCTTCTCCTTACCTACGTGTTCTGCGTTCTCCTTCAATAAAGACTTTGCTTAGGTGGAATTAAAGTTGAGTATTAAATTCATTATAGAATTAAATATTTATGTTTTGGAGAGTAGTATAATCTTATTCTGAGATCCTAATTTTGTCATTTATTTCCGTATAAACATAATTCCTTTCAATAAAATTGACCTAAGATATAAGTAAAAGTATACTTTTCAAACGTATTTATTTTCATTTGTATCTATAATGACATATCCATAAACATTTTTTTGACTGATTTTTTTCTTAAACGATTTACTGATCATTTGAAACTGTATTATTCTAGTTTTTACTATCTACATCCAAAAAAAAATAATCAAATAATCATATTTATTAGAACTATTCGTATTTCCATTTTATTTATCAAGATATACTTTCAGATAAAAGTAAATAGGTTCTTATATTTATGCAAATTTACTTCCAATCTATGTAGTAAATGATACTAAAATTTTTATTCAATAATGGTTAATTTGTTGAATTTATACATGTATATACATATATATATCAGATGTTTACGACAAGAAAGCAGTAATATCGAATGAATAATTTACATATTATTCGGCAAAATATTTCAGTTTTTTTATTTATTTACAAGTACAATACAAAGTAATATCTAATAAGATGATAGAAGTCTATTCGATCAGAAATTCAAACAACACATAATGAACAAATTATATATATAATCAACTTAAAATTATGTCGAAACCATTGGTGGAAATTTGATCATTTTGTCTATAAAATCATTCTAATATTTCCAAATAACTGACATAATTTTCGATTATGTCATTGAATTATTTGAAGTTTGTAAATTTATAAATTATGATATTTTTATTGTATAAAATAAACATGTATAATATACTTTAAACCTTTTGTGAATAGTAAAACTTTCCAGAAAAATATCTAACTTTCTAGGATTAAACACGTTCGAAGATAGTTTTCTTAATAGAAAGTCATATAAATTATTAAATGGTACCAGTAGATTGTTATGTTACTTCAACAAACGTGTTCATAAAATTCTCATATTCATGATCATCAGTAGATAGTAAATGGTAACGTATTGGTATTCATAAAACATTAGTTGCATATTGAATGGCTACATTTTTTCGCACATCATTACCAGAAACGTAGACAGTGGATAATTATTGGAAAACAAAGCATATTTGTTATTCGTTACGCAGTTTTACTGTTAAATTAATGTAATAAAAAGGCAATTAAAACTAATCAATATTTAATTCCAGTGGATATATCCAAATGATCAAATTAGACTAAATATTATTAAGCTGAAATGACTGAAATTGTAATCAAATTTGGTACTGTTGTGTTTTATACAAATATTTACAAAAAATACTGTTTAAATTCGGATGACGACAGTGTGTAAAGAGTCTGAGTGTATCATGATGTTCCTCATCTTTTTTTGAAAGTCTCCATGTAATATTTATCAAATGAAAGAAAAGTAGTCTAATAAATAAAGCAATAACACTTGGAACAAAGATCGATTTTATCAGTAAATATCTCAATCAATAAGTAATTTTATAAAGAATGTAACAAATCGACTGCAACGATGAGAATCATTTCAAATCAACCACTATTGGCTATGTAATTTTTAAGTTTTCTAAATTCAAATGAGTTTCATTGACCATATTAATGTGTACCACCATACAAAAAAAAGCATTAACTTACGGTTTGAATAGCAGGTGGTATATTTGACCAAATATTAGCTGTTGTTGAATATGACTTTAAATACGGAGTGTTTTGTGTTGTACATTTAGTCATTTCCATAAATGGACTAGAATTATGTTTGGACATTTGATTATTCATATTGATTTGTGAGACTAAATATTATAAATAAACAGACAGTATTTAGTAAAAATCCAAATAATTTTCGAAATATTTTAATTTAGCTATATAATTCACAATGAAGTACATTGTAAACTGTATAAATAATCTAATTATCATATAATATTTATACTTTGAAAATGTTATAACTTAGTAATGTTATCAGAAGGGGTTTCGTGGATATTTTAGTAATTTCAATAGTTGAAATCATGAGTCAATTGAAGATAGACCACCATGGAAAACCTGGAAGCACTGGACGGCCGTTTCGTCTCAGTATGGGACTCCTCAGCAGTTGGATGTCGTTGGATACCGGCCCAGTGGTATGATGGTTAAGCGCTCACGCGCGAGACTGATAAGTCCCGCGTTCGAAACTTGCAGGGGCGCGATCGTGGATGCGCACTGCTGAGGAGTCCCATACTAGGACGAAACGATGGCCCAGTGCTTCCAGGTTTTCCATAGTGGTCTAGTTTCAGTTGATTCATGATTTCAGCTATTAAAATTATTAATGTTAGACAAAAGCTATTAATAATGAAATTTAACAGTTTTGTTCGTGAATGATTTTTTCCATCTTTTGGTTTAAAGAATTTTCAATGAATTTTATTTAAATGTTTATTTAAACAAATAATACTTTTATATTTTAATCGCTGAAAAATTCCCATTATATTCAAACACAATTATATGAACGAAAAATATTCTTTTCAATAAATTCTCGTCAGGTTCTACAATTATCTCATATCTAAATTAATAATCTATAAAATTGATCAGGTTTAGGCAAAGCACATCATTTGGAAATTGTAATATGTGAATCAAGAATTGTTGTTTGTTATATAAAATCAAATCAGATCGTTAATGTTAGAGTTGACTATTATGAAGTGTTAACTTGAATCAGTTTATAAGCGAAATGAAATTGTGTGATAAATGGTCCGAATAAATATAGTCAACATGGGTCGCGAGAGAGAAAACAATGGATGATGTATTCTGCCTTAAATCTGACCAATTTTATGAATTATTAATTTGAATTTATAATTGTAGAACCTGATGAGAAATTATTGAAAAGAATATTCTCCGTTCATATACTTATATATTTGTGAATAATAATATTTATATACTATAGAAACAGATAGGTGAAAAGATCAAATACAAAATGAGAATATTTTCTTATATTAATGTTATTTTATTTTGCTACAGTATTCATAAGGAAAAAAATCCATTCTTCAATTGATAACCAATTATTAAGACAAAAAAAATAAAAGTATTTTAATATATGTGCTTATTCGAAAACAACATATACATATCTTTGGATAAAAAAAAAGTAAAGTTACACCTGTTACTCCTCGTGAAGGAGCATAGGTCGCTCACCAGCATTCTCCATCCAACCCTGTCCTGGGCAATCCTTTCCAGCTCCTTCCAGTTGTAATTTATCCTTTTCATATCTGCTTCTATTATCCGACGTAATGTGTTCTTTGGCCTTCCTCTTTTCCGCTTCCCTTCAGGATTCCAAGTTAGAGCTTGCCTCGTGATGCAGTTTGACGATTTGCGTAATGTATGTCCTATCCATTTCCATCGTCTTTTCATAATTTCCTCTTCAGCTGGAAGTTGGTTTGTTCTCTCCCACAGAAGGCTATTGCTGATGGTATCCGGCCAATGGATGTTGAGTATCTTCCGTAGACAGCTATTTATAAATACTTGTACTTTCTTGATTGTGGTTGTTGTAGTTCTCCAAGTTTCAGCTCCATACAGTAGAATTGCCTTGACGTTCGTATTGAAGATTCTCACTTTGATATTGGTTGAAAGTTGTTTTGAGTTCCATATGTTCTTCAATTGTAGGAATGCGGCCCTTGCTTTGCCAATCCTCGCCTTTACGTCTGCATCTGAACCTCCTTGTATATCGACGATGCTTCCCAGTATGTGAAGGATTTTACATCTTCCAGAGTTTCGCCATCAAGGGTGATTGGATTGCTGTTCTCCGCTTTGAATGTGAAGACCTTGGTTTTCCCTTTGTGTATGCTGAGGCCTACTGATGCAGAGACTGCTGCTACACTGGCTGTTTTCATCTGCATCTGTTCGTGTGTACGTGATAGGAGGGCTAGGTCATCTGCGAAGTCCAGATCGTCTAATTGGTTCTGAGCTGTCCATTGTATTCCGTGTTTTCCTTCAGATGTCGAGGTCTTCATAATCCAGTCGACCACCAGAAGAAAGAGGAAGGGAGAGAGTAAACAGCCTTGTCTGACTCCGGTCCTTACTTGGAATGCATCCGTCAGCTCTCCTCCATGCACTACTTTGCACTGTAGTCCGTTGTATGAGTTCCGGATAATATTGACAATCTTCTCAGGAACTCCGTAGTGTCGAAGAAGTTTCCATAATGTCCTCCTATCTACACTGTCGAATGCCTTTTCATAATCAATGAAGTTGATGTATAGTGATGAGTTTCACTCAACTGATTGTTCGACGATGATCCGTAGTGTTGCAATTTGGTCTGTGCACGACCGATCCTTTCGGAATCCAGCTCGTTGATCTCGAAGTTGGGCATCTACTGCATCCTTCATCCGGTTCAGCAACACTCTGTTGAAGACTTTCCCTGGTATTGACGGTAGTGTTATGCCTCTGTAGTTTTCACATTTGCTCAGATCTCCTTTCTTTGGAATCTTGATGAGGTATCCTTCTTTCCAGTCCATCAGCACTTGTTCCTCCTCCCAAATCTTTTTGAATAGAGGGTAAAGCATGCTTGTGGTTACTTCGACGTCTGATTTCAGTGCTTCAGCTGGTATGTTGTCGGGTCCTGCTGCTTTCCTGTTCTTGATTTGTCTGACGGCCATTCTAATTTCTTCCGTCGTTGGTGCGTTGACATCTATAGGAAGATCTGTGTGTGCTGCTTCGATGTTCGGTGGATTCATTGGAGCCGGCCTATTCAGGAGTTCCTCGAAGTATTCTACCCATCTGTTTCGCTGTTGTTGAATTTCAGTGATTGGCTTACCTTCTTTGTCTTTGACCGGCCTCTCTGGTTTACTGTATTTCCCTGATAGTTTCTTCGTTGTATAGTTTTCAATAATGAATAAAGAAAAAATACAGTCATAATATACAAAATTTGAAGTTTAAGATAATCAGCTTATTGTTTTTCGTTTGGAATAATATTTCTAGTTTGCAAATTATTCAAACAATATATGATTATTGAAATGTACTATTTGTTTCCAGTATAGTTAAGTTTTCATTTAATGTTATTATTGAATGTCACCATTTTTTTAAAAATTATAACAGTGATTAGTAATATGTCGTTTCATTAGTTTATTCTTATAGTTTGTAAATATATGCTTCTTTGTATCAGTGTAAATGAAATATATTTTACTTATACAACCTAATGCGTATTTTATACCTATAACTGATTTGGAAGCTTTGTGTTGCCGGCTGATCTGACTCCAATTTGAATGAACTTATGAATAAACCATGAATATAAATCTTCCATTTAACTTCGTATATTGCCTAGGCTAACCACGCTTGTATGACAGCGGTAATAAGAAAGGTTACGTTGGAGAAATTTATTTCAGGTATACGTTAATCTAGGTAGACGATTGAGGAAACGAAACGGATAGGAGACAGCGAAGCTAAACGGATCGGATCGGAGAAGGCATGTGAGCTAAGTCCTACTAATCAAGCGTGAATCGATATTAAAGTCAAACAAAAATAAGTTACGGATATATGGTAAGATAAGAAATTCGAGAACATACGCTCACATAAAATCAGTTAAGATCGATAAGCGAATAATTAACAAGGTCAAAATGTGGCTTTCGGAGAACGAATAAATTGGTCTGTCTGTAAGTTAGAATAACCTATATGTGCTTGACATAGTACCAGGCACTACAAATTAACTGAACAAATTCTATTGACGAAATATGGTATGACACTAAAGTGAAATCAAATTAGTTAATCTTGGAATACTGATTTTACTGAAAATCATAATTATTTAGTGTAGAAATAGTATGTAATATATTTCACATAAAATAAATAAATATAACTGGTAAAACGATGTTTTACTATAAATCTGAGATTCATGCCGGTAAATTTAACCACTGTTAGTCAATTAGATCAAACAAGAGTTGCTTACACTTCAAATTCATAAAAACTGATTGAGATACAGACGTTATATGGAATTTAAGAATTATATGTGAATTGTAATTAACTTACAGAAATGTAGATCATTGTTACCAAATGGTTGATTATGAAAATTTTGAGACATTAGATTTTTAGGTGTAGAGTTTTCCCAGCTAATCCCTTGGTTTTCAAAATGATCATCGAAAGTTATCCAGTTTTTTTCACCATCCTTTTAATATTAATTTAAACATAAAAGTAAATAAATGAAAACAACTTACTGAAATTTGATTGAAATATGACAAATTACTTAGTTATGGAGTAGTGATGGCACTAAACATCATAATCATTTACAATAATATTAGAAATGATGATAAAATGTTTTGTTTCCCTGAGGTAGTATAATATCGTGCATTATACTGCATGAAATGTAACGTCATTAATTTGTCATCATGTAATATTCAGTATACTCTTACTTAACTATTTATTCTGGTCTAGTCCAATAGTTCAGGTTTGTAAAGTAAACAATTGGTAATTAAATTATTCATTAGGTACTCTAATATGAGCTACATCGAGAGTATAAAAGCTATTGATATCACGAGGTTTCCTAAACCGAAGTGTGTAGCGAAGATTTGAACCTAAGACTTAATGATTAAAAGCTGAGCCTCTTATCCACCGAGCGATTAGGTCACTAAAGCATTCGAATACCTCAGTAATAAAATCTCTGAATGTTTCATCAAGTAGAGCATCTTAGAATACTCTCACCAAGAATTCACATTCTCTAAGTTAATTAATACCAGATGGCACAAAACTTTGTTTCAGATCTTCTTATTTACTCCGTTTAACCATCTGGTATCTAAATTCATTTAATTTAATAATGAATATAGTTTTATTTACGGGGCTTCTGGATCCACAGAATTATACTTTAACATCAAGTCAGGGAAATGAAGAGAAACCAGTCATTTATAGACTGTTGTTGCAATACATGGGATTTAGTCAAATCATACCGTCATTAATGACATTAATGCAGGAAATGTAATCTCATGAATACAATGATAGATTTTATAAGCTGAACACACTCTTTACTAACTTATGAAGCCAAGATTTTTTGTGACATAAATCGGGGGACATATCGATGAATTTAACGGCAACTTATTTAATTATCGATACAATCGGAAGTATCAAACAGTCTTCAGAGACCACAGTAGTGACGCAGAAAATTTGAAGAAAACTCGACAACCCAGAAGGAAGCAAGACATAAAAACATTAGTATGGAGTGTGGTGGTTATCTTTTATTTTTTTATGAAATTACGACATTGTATTTGTTTTCTCGTACAGGTATCTAATAGTAGATTCTATATCACCGATATAGAATCAAATCCTGTTGTGCTAGATTGGTGTGGTTTCTTACCAAGAGACATATCACTTAACTCAACCTGCAACGACATTCGGTCAATAACCCCTTGGAGTTTATCATCGTTACTGAAAGAATTTTTAATAGATTTCAATGTAGGATTTGGTTACTGTACATAAACAAATGACTCTTTCTGTCACACAAAAGCAACATAACTTTGTAATACCTTAAAAAATCAGTTTCTTATTTATCATGACCTGTTGTTCCTGTCAAGTTGCGGAAATTTGAGTAACAAGGCGTCATCGCTCATGTGTAATCCTCAGGTTAAGCAACCCTTGAAGTTGTGATAAAGAATGCAAAACGTTCACTTAGAATCTTCCTCAGCTTCCCACTAAACCGAATTCAAACCTTAAACTACATCATTATGTATTTCTCGAATAAACTTAGTATTGTCCTCAAAAAATGAAGATATTTAGCTTAATTCAACTTAGCTAGAACGAAACTCCAAATGAAAGTATAACACAAGTCTCGGGTTTAACTAATGGTTTACAAGTTCAACAAGCTGATCTAAGGAAAAAACCCACCCTCCTTACAGATCATAAAACCCTGTTATCAACATTTTGTTCATATTTCTGTGTACTACCTCATTTTACGGGGAACTTACAGCACTGGGTCCTTCCACTCCAAGGATACAACTTCACTATCCATTATCTACAAACAGAGGATTTTGAACGTGCAGATATCTTATTACGGTACATGGGAGAGTAATCATACATTCATGAAAGCTACTTCGTAGCTGATGTCCCGATAACAGACTATGTAGCTGCGCTTTAAGCAAGAGAAAGAACTCGAAAAGTTAATAACCTTCAGGCGGAAAGACGTCTCATGGAAACTGTTATATACTAGCGAAGATTAAATGACGAGTAACTTCTGAGACCTATTAATGGAGTAATATTATCTATACATTCTTGTTGTATAATTATTCAGTAACTTGAATGTGTATATTTATATTCATCTTACTATCAACTTCCCTTTGACTTATATATTATTATTATACGATTTGCTGTTCTTAAATTAATTACTGTCTCCCACGTTCACAGCCACATTTTGGCTTTATTGTGTATAAATGTTATTTCCTATTTTGTGGTGCGTTGCGGTCTGTTTGGTTGATATATAAACCCAGTATGTCTGAAACAAATTATTCGCATAGTGGAGGCTGTTATTGGCATTCTGGACTCAACTGGACGGGCTAGACGAGCAACAAACCAACAGAACGCTAGGCTGATCTAACCGGTTGGACGTCATTGGTTTAGTACAGTACAAGAGCGAATAAATCGTATTTCAATTGGCGAATAAATTACGTGATAAAAAGCGGGCCTAAAGACACAACAGAAATCATATAGTCTGTAGTATTAAGCAACAAACTGCGTCAACTCTTCTGAAGATGACGCTTACTCTAAGTCATTCCGATTATCATTATTTTGGAGTAAAGCATTAAAACCTTCGCCAGTTTCAGTTCAACCGCTGTGGTATCAAACGAAGGAAAACTATTGCTAAAATCTGCGTCTAACAGCCATAGACGGATAACAATATCAAATAATATGTCAACCAACGCCCTTTAAAGCAGTGATCGATAAAAATTTCAATGCAAGGCAGAAGCAGAAAGACTGGAATAATTACATGTGTACTTTGCTGTTCTTATCGATGGCACGCCTACAGATTGTAGACGATGTCGGCTGAAGGTAACCTGAAGTATATCCAGTTGTTTTACCCACCTCCATGAAAACATTGCCATCTCTGTCTAATATCCTTTCTTGTCGTGTATTTCACAAGACCTTAGTTCTCAATTTAATTTTCGAATGATCATTAACTATTGTTGACCTGAAGCACTTGACCAAACTAAGTCCCCGATCTTATCACTCACGGTCAGATGGAGTAACGTAGAGGCTTGTTTACACTCCGAACTTGCCCTGCAAAAATTACTAGGTGAGTGTGAAAATATTTTTCTTTATATAGCTAACGCCATTCAACGTGGTATTCCTTAGACGCTAGTCATTAGTGGAAGCAATAATACAGAGTAAACTAAGAACCCGAAATGACGAACTTCTTTTAACAGAACCATAATTTGTGGCATAACATATCCTCAAAAGTTTCAAACTAGAACCAAAAGTGTTCGCAAGTGATTATAAAAAAGTATACAGCACAGAGTGAGCAGAATATCTGACTTGGTAATTATAAAATAGCGATGGTGACGATAACATATTATAAATTAGTTTTTCTTGTTCATTAAATCTGATTTCATATTTGACTAGAAGCCAGCTGAGAATCTGTTATGTAATTACAATCATCACGGTTATCGATCAGTAAATTACCATAATTGACTTAAATTAACATTTCCTTCTTGGTTTCAATAATTTTTGGTTGAAATGAAAGAACTTAACAGATTTTGACACATTCAACTACACTAGATTTCTGAAAGTCATAAGATTCAGTCGGTTATAAACAGACCAAAGACTTGTGTAGTATTTTCTAGTTGTAAAAGGGGGATGTCTCTTTTGATATCCTTGTTCCGAAATGTTACAGAGTTTGTAGATTAACTTGTGAGTAATCTACGTGATTAATTATAATTTCATTTTGCAATGTTCAGATTACCAAGCTTATACAAAACTTTACTGTAGTATCCTAAATGTGTCAAAAGCTACAGTCAGACTGACGTAGGATAACTAAAGTCATCTAAATTGTACTTCATTTTGCTTGAACTTACTTTATTGTACGGAATGTTGTGTCCATTACTTGTGTATTGTTTTTGAATATTTTCATTGTCAGCGTTTTTTTGGTGTGGTGAGACAGTGTTGTCACTAATATCTATTAGCTGAATCAAATCAGGATTGTTTTCCTCGGTAGTGTCGAAAATCCTGGTGTCCGTAGAATGTTCTGATTTATTCAATATGTCCTAAGGAATTGTGTGTGACATAATTTAGAGTAAAGCGCGAAAAGTAAATAAAGTGAACAACAACAAAAATATAAATTTTTAATATATTCGAGGAATTTGTCTGATGTAATATTTTCGCTTGTGTTGAAATCTTGACCAAAGGAATCCACATTACACAACGCAAAAACGTTCTCGTCAATAAATAGTTCTCACCAGACAAGAATAGCATTCCGCTTCATACTTGATTATGTACATGTAGTGTTCAGATGACGATGGCAGCAAATTCTATTATTACAAAATTAGTGTCTAAAAAACCCTAAGGATAATGAAATCAAGTCAGGTTATTCAACTGTGATACGATAGCGCAATGTCCCTTGTTACGTTGTTGGATGCATCGTGTTGATTTGTGAAGAAATGGGGTTTGATGTTATGCTTCTTCACCATTTTCATACAAGATTTATCTACGTTTTTATTAATCGCCTGTTACCGAGAAATTTAGGTACATGGTAAATTGACGAACTACCTGAAAACATGCTTTAACCTGAAGGCTTTGTTATATTAGTTGGTAAATAGACTTTAAGATTTATTTATTATCCAAAATGTATTGGTCAGTGTGAGGACGTAACCGATTCTCAACATGATCAGTAGTAGTCGTTGTGTTGGTCATCACTGATTAGTGACTATACATAAGTTCACTTTTCTCATAGGCCTAAATTTTAAAACATGTTAAATGTGGCTGCTTTATACTAATGGTTTCAGTTAACTTCTTGTGTTTGCCAAAAATACAGAACAAACATAGGACTTTTCATCGATGATGTGCTTTTCTATCACAAGCCTTGGGACATTTTTAAATTTGAAGGTTATATTTGTAAATTTTACCAACAGTAAATGTCATTATATTAATCAATGATATAAAACGTCAAGAGGAAATTATAAATCATGATTAAGGTTTAGTTGGAATTATGTTATAACTCTTTGACCTTATGTGTAAACTATCATTTTAGAGCTCAAAGAGGCTACTCTAAAAATCAATCATTCAGTTGAAGTGTGACATGGAATAAAAGTGTGACCATATGACAGATACTAGATTGCAACTTTAAATAAACATTGAATTACATGAAAACAATAGAGTGCATTGAATTATACAACCAATAATGAACAGTCAATAAACTTTACTGATGTTTTCTGTTAACTGATAAGATTGTCACTGTTTATTTTGTATTTGAGAACAAATGGTTATTTCTTGAGATCGTATAACTGTTTCATTAGTACATAAGCCCCATTTTTGAAGTTAACTGATCAAACTAACTTTTGTAATAGAAAACATTCATCGTACTAAATTAGAGTACTTTAATATAGTATAGTTCAGTCAATAGAGAGTAGAGAAATGTGTACTGAAAATATTTAAAACTTACATTAGATCAACGAATTACAGATTCAAGTTAATGCATTCAAAATGCATTAATCATAATGTAGACTAATAACATTGTGCTTTATATAATTAGTTTATTGAGGCTGTGTAACTATTTACATTGGAATAAACTGTTAGATGTAAGTATTGTATGAATGTTTTTGTGTGCTTTATTAGCAATTACTGATTAAGTATTGAACATACTGACATATGGTTTTAAGTTTATTTACTTTAGTTTGTAGGTGACATTTGGTTAACGAAGTTTATAAATTTGACTTTAAAAATTTTAGTGAATTACTTCATGTTTTAAATTAGTGTTATTGGTTTTACTACCAAAAACTGAAAAAATAATGATTTCTTTTTAATTCAGAAGTTTTTAGTTTGTTGAGAGAATTGTAATAGCTGTCAAAGAGCCTAGAACCAAGATATTAAAGTAACCCAAAATTATTTATCGTTGACTATAGACATTTATGAATGAAATATGTTTTTAAAACTATTCAAGGTAAATTGGTAGCTTTATTACAAGTAGGACGATAGACTATTTCATTTATAATAACCCTTATCATGTTTGATCGGTTTTGTTATTTTATCTTTGAGGAACTTTTAAGAAGATATCGATTGCATATAATAAATGAGGAAGTGAAAATAGATAATCAAAGTTTATTCTAAAAATTATAAATACTTTTCATTACTTCATTAGGCGGTAATAACTCAAGATTTGAATATATGTGCTTTAACACACCAATCAATTTCGGAGTCTAAAAATGGAGGATAAATAAAAGACAAAGAAAATAAAATAAAAATAATAATGCATTTGTTGGTGGAATTTTAAACATACATTATCACTTACACTTTATTATCATAGTAACTTTACACAGATACACTTAATATTGAAATTGATGTGTTGCTTTTACTTATAAAATTGATGTAAAAGTTTGAGGTATTTATGACATTATCAACTAATCCACTCACTAGAGATACTTCACTCTAAATTAATAAAAAACTTATTTGGAATATTTTATTTTTCAGTGGAGAAATAATAATATTTAATTTTAATCATTTGTCATAATAAGCATTCTGACAGAACATGGGCTCAATATTGTCAGTTGTATAAAAAGTTAGAGCTACAATTAGGTTCACCTTTTTTAGTAATACTATTAGCATACACTGTAAATGTGAATGAATGATAATCACTGAAAGTTAAATAAAGAAATAGCATGGTTGAGAAATAGTTATCACCAAAGATAATGAAAGAAACAATGTGAATCAATCAAAAGTACTAAGAATTTTTCTTAAATCTTGCGAAATCTTATTCATTGTTACACGGTATCTACACTCCGATATAAGCATGGAAATATGTTTCTGCTTTGTATGAGTTTTATTCTAGGGTTTCTATCAGTACATGTTATGAATTTCCAGATGCAGAGGAATGAGTAATTATTTTAACTGATGCTTACTCAAACAAATTACAGATGCATTCCGTTTTGATTATATTGAGTAAATTTTAATCTATGATGTCTCTCTTTCTTGTAATTTCAATACTAAATGAAGAAGGATTTGACTAAATGAAGGTTTTAATGTATAAATTAAAACAAAATTCTGCATTTCGTGAATCCTGGAAACTATTAAGAAGATCAGATTATCCTAAATTAAATAGTAAAGACAATCATTTGTTTTTATTTTCATAGATTGCTAAATGTTTACACTGTTGTGAGACACAACTCACCTTTGAGAAACAAGTGATGTAAAAGAAGATGTGTGACTTTATAAGCATTAAATCATCACTATCACAGAGAAAAAAACAATATCGATGACCGTATAGGCTTAAATGTATTAATTTATTTAAAAACATCTTGGTTTTCACACACGTTCAACCTAATAAATTACAATTAATATCAAGACTTTGGTTTATTAACGAACAATAACTATTTATCAGACAATTCCAATGGATTATATGAGATCCGAAACAAGGAAAAGTGACTAAAAACAAGGATCGAATCATTTGTTCCACAGTTTATATAAGTTTAAATTAAAAGCTTTCTATGATATTTCTTGTTTTTCTACATTAAATTACTATTATATAGTTTAAAATGTCGCAAATTTCATTTCCTTGTTTCGCGGTTAAAGATTGCATATTCTGATATATTTGAAAATATTTCCTCTGTTTTCTACAACTTCCCTGTAATAGATTTAAATAAATTTAAGGAATATTTTATTGAATAACTTGTATCATAAAGCTAAATAACCATAATTTTAATCAATGTGAATTAAATAGAATTAAGTGGATAGTAACAATACTCGTCTTCATTCATTTTGTAAATAAATTATTACAGCAAAACGCGATAAATGAGTCATTTAAACTTACATTTTGATAAAGTTTATAACCATAAAATTGATGAACATTATCCCCAATTAATGGTTGTTTAACTATAATTCCACATGATTGTAAATCACAGGGGTCAGTCCAAATAAATGTAATATTTTCAAATTTATGCACATGATGTAATGTCTGTAATAATGTTGAAATGAAAATAAAAACAAACAATGAAAAGAAAAACAACGGGCCGAGAAAAAAAATGTTGGTGTGTTTAGTTAAAATTCAATTCAAAATATTTATGTTTTATACATTCAAGATATTTTAGTTGTTTATTTGTAAATTTACTATGGTAATGTGAACAAATATTCATATATATATATATATATATATATATATATATATATATATATATATATATGTGAAATGAAAGCCAGTTTAATTGTGATTGTTTATATTTAATAATGAACATCAGCGAAATCAATCATGTATCTAACTTTAAACGTTCATTAGTAAAACTGTATCAATCGATCGGAAATGACCATAAAATTAAAAGATTTCATTATTGTAAATGGTGTAGTAGATGTATCATTAGTGGTTGTATATTATTTATCATAACTTTTTGTATTCGTTTAGAGTGTCGTAGGTTTAACTGATTTACTAACATACTAAATTAAGTGAGTTAACATTTTTACAGTTATTATTGTCTGGTGAATTTATAAGTGTCTAGAGTATAAAATCTAAAAAAACATTGACTGCTTACTCGGTTCAAAACTGCATTTAATAACTTGATCGTTATTGAATTATAATTGTTAGTTTTAAATTGTCCCAACAGTTACCATAAATTAATCGTCTCATGTATAAGATGTTATTGTTAAGATTATTACTATTTAGGTCTTCTGTCTCTTAATCTTCAGGGAGCCAAACCAAGTAATTAAGGATATAAAGTAGTTGAATTCCTAGGATTTTCTTCCGTTGACAATAATTAATACTGAACATCATGTATAAAATGACAGTATAAGGTCTAATTTGTTAGTTGTGCTTCAGATTACCTTAACTGAAGACTATGAAGGAAAATTAAACTTTATTTACCAACTGATCACAGACCAGTTAATCGTAAAAATCACTGAAATCAACGGTGCCAGCGCTGGTAGTGCATTTCCTTGCCACCATTTTAACTCAAAGAATTCTGATGATATATAGTAGTCGACAGAAGTTAGTTTGTTATTGTTCGAGCAGATGTTGACCTGAAGTACAGTTTGATATGTCAATATCAGTTACTTATAGTTTGATTGCAGAAATATTACAGCAGTTATCCTGTGACCAAACTTACAAATGGGTTAAATATGTGGCTTTTAATCTTGAATAATAAAACACTAAATATTTTATTGTTCCAACTTTATATCCCCATCTAAATAATAAGTGTTGTTGATTACAGTCTTGGATTATTGAACTCAATAAGGTATTACTTGCATGCACAATTTGTTGAAACATTCGTACAAATTATGTTGAGATTTCAAGAAACATTCTGGGTAAGAAACTAACGTAAGAGTAATGAAATTTGGTCCTTCACATCCGAAAAGTGATTAAATCACTCAATGTAGACTCTATTATTCACTCTTACTATCGTTACAATACAAAACGTTTCGATACGTATCTGGATACTGATATATATTTATACAAATTAAGGCATCCATTCAAAGACATATGTGGCACTAAATATATGTTTTCAAAAGATCATAGTTAATTGCAACTGGACCTCAAAAACATCTGCCGATTCCCACATTTTATTTTTTACACACAAAACTGTCACTGCATGTATTATAAAATTCAATCCAACTTACCGAATTTCGTGAACCAATAACACTAATTCCACTGGTGTCTACACGTATCCTAATTCTTTTCTTGTGTAATTTTGATGTAAGCAACTGAGTTTTAAGTAATCCTAGTGAGCTTTCGCAAATAAAATCACCACGAGGCTCAGAGACGGAAGTATTTCCGAAGAATTTAGCACGGTATATCTGTGGCACAAAATTCTCTAATGATCCGTGTGTTTTGGATTCTTTGGCCTCCTTTTCAGATGTATCCGAACTGACTTCTACTTCATCTTGAAATATATTATCTTCTTTAGTAACATTTTAATGATTTACCTATATCACAAGGATTCATTTTTTCATTTTCTTGAGTCATATTATTCTGTTTTGGTATCACCTAAAACTAAGTGTCAAAAAAGTTTTAGTTAACCTGTTTGTTCAGAGCAGCTGGAACCAAGGCGATGCAGGATTGTAAAACTGTTTATTATGTGTATGTATATAAATCCATGGAATAAATGATCACATATGCATTTTACAGTAGTGATCTTGTTAGTTTGGTTAAAAGTTAAAGATTTAAGGCCTCAAGTCAGGCACTGGAGCTATATCAAAAAACGAACCGACGTCAGATTGCCATCTTTCCTTGGGCAACAGCCTTACCCTTACCCTTACCTTTACTCATATTCAAACACACCGTTGCCCCGATACATTTTTACGTTTCTTAATTATTTTTTCGTGGTGCTAATTGCAAGATACCTAGGAACTACTTATTCCTGGTTTTATTTTATCCGGTAAATTCCGACACAAAAGAAATATATTCAATTGTCAGCTACAGACTTTGAAAAATATCGGTCTATTCTAAATACGTTTGTAGAACAAATATCAAGCTTTGTTTCAGCTTTTTGTATATCCCTCTAAGTATAGACAGTCTTCTGTACCGGACTCAGTCTTCACTTATGGCGATCATGTTAGCCAAATTAAGCGCCTTTCGTTTACAAGAACAACTGATTACACAGTCATCTTAGTCAGAGTCATTACTGTAGGGCTTTACCAAACAGACTAGTTGATCCGTCCTAATATATGGAAGACAAATATAAAGATAGCCCTGGACATTTCCAAAGACGAAACAACACTACCACTTCTGTGTTTAAAGTAAAAAAATATATGACATCTCCGTCAATCGTAGTAAATGTATCAACACAACTCATCTTGCTCAGATAAAATACAAAAATGAATTTGTTCAAACTGCAGACAAACAATGAAAGAGACCAATGTTGTATGTCGATAACAGTACAATAAATTCTTTGGGACGGTAACTCGGTTACCGATGTGAGTAAATGTCAGGAGGCAAGGGGGGGAACAAGATCAAGCGGAAGTAATTGCTGCTTACTGTGTGACGTTCTTCATTTGTGTGCTGAGAATTTTAAGAGTATTCGGTCCTCTACCAACATAAACCAAAGACATTTTGAGAGGGATACAGTGGAAAAAAGTAACAGGCATCAAACGATCCCCTGGGGAACAAGTACTCAGTGGAGTAACACGAGGCTAGGTTACAGGTCTCTTACTATACATGCTCTGTGCAAGTAAAATCTTACGTACTGTTACGTTTATAATGCTTCTTAGCAATGATCAAACAAAAAAATTGTGGAAAGTGACAAAAAATACACATGTATGTTCCTCCTAGTCAAATATGAAATTACTGATAAGTTAGTCTAAATTCTGATTGATTTCTGACAAAATGGTTTAGCATGTCAATCTTCAGGGTGGATAGCTTGAAGTAAATAACTATAACAAGGGCAAATTATCGGAATTTTTGAGGGCATATCACAATAATCCATGGATTTTAGAGAGTCTTAACCATATAATTAGCCTATTTGGTATTCAGCTGCTATTAAAAACTATAAACTTGCGGATTTTAAGAAGGAAATGGACCTAGTTTGATACAAATATGTTCAACCTTGTGATATCAAACTAAAAACATTGTTTAGATCAGAAGCCACTGTTTAATACTACATTTATACTTTTTTATAAAGTAAGAAGGATAATTGCTCATTCACATCTGAAATATAAGGACCTCCCAAAACAATGCGAGTCTAAAATATTTAAACCGTTTTACTTTGTCTTATGGCCAAATGCGAGTTGACTTAAATATGATGCCAGGAACGATGACAGATGATTTGGAGTTTGATATATCATCCGTTTTTCTTCCATCTTGTTCAGTTCAATTCAGAGGATATAAGATATGAGTTCAGAATTAAAGAGCTAACAAAAGCACTCTTAGCCCTAACCATATCTTGAAACTTGAAAACGGAAAAAAGCTTATGTATATGCCTTTAACTTTCTTGTTCAAAACAAGATCAGGCTACTAAAAAATGTACCAGAAGAGAATTAACACAGGTTGTCGGCCTTCTGTTTCAACACATAAAACTGGATATGGAACTACAAGTAAACATGGTCAGAAGCCATCAATGCAGAAAGTTAAAGATATAAAATATGAAGAATTCTTCCTATAAGGCCTAAAACGTAGTAAATTTACCACCTTAAATATTACTAATAATGTATATATGTTTAAACGTCATATCACATGTGAAACATAGGGAAGCTACGTTCCATTTAACGACACCATTGTGACAACAAGAATGAAATCATCTGTCTTTGACAGAAAGTTAACATGAATGATAACCGGTAAATACTCGTTTGTTAGGAAAAGATAACCTGAGATAACGATCTAAAAAATGAATATCTACACAATTTATAAGATTTCACTTATAAAAAGTTTCTACAATAATCACAAATACGACACTGATTTAAAGCGGTGGAAAAACAAATCAAAAATTCTAAAAGAAGATCACGTTTTTTGAATATATTTTAGCATAATATATTCACAGTTAATTCAATTAATTTTAGGACTTCTCATCAATAAACATTTCGAATGATAACATTACCTGCAATATTTAGATACACAAGATACAATCTACTTTGCAGTCAGCTACAAACTTTGGTGATGAGTGTAATTTGTTGAGGCATTATATTCACGATAACATACAACACAATTCGTTGCATTCACCAAAAGACCTGAGAAGTAGCATTTTCAAACAACGTGTACAACATCCAATATTTCATGACTAACTACCATCGAACGATGGTCGCTGTGTGGAAAATTTTAATTGACCTTTCATAATTGTCTGCTGAAGATAAGACTTCTTCGTACTTAGCCTTAACATTTCCACGTCTATAATCGATATCAGGCCAATAGAATAACAGACCTAGTATGCTGTAAATCCGTCACAATAAAACATCCGCTTGATCTTACTTAGAAGCCACATCAATTCTCACACTGATTCTTGATTGCCTGAGATATTGTTCTTTAAGGGATTTCAAAGGCGCACAAAAGCTTACAAATAAGTAATATAAATGTTATAAATATAAGGCAGGAATTATAAACACCCTTACATGATCGAGCCGCGAAATTATAGTAGGTTTCCCTGTTGACCATTACCAAACATACAACGTATAATCTTATGATATCTACTTACAAATACTCAAAGGCTGTACATGTTTCATGGACAGAGAAAAGAGAAAAAAAGTAAGTTCCAGGAACAACTGAAGTCACATTTAGATAGTTCTGAGAATGAGGCTGACCAAATGCTGCTTGGAAAGATATACAATCAGCTGTGGAACCAGTAGTGACATCTATTAGTGATTTAAACCACAGTGTTACAAAGAACCAATGAATTTTTTCAAGGTTTGTTGCACTGATGGATTCTGGTAAGCTCATCTCACCAGGCTCTGAACACGATGAAGAGCGGAAACAAATCAGATCTAGGTTAACCAAAAGTCTAAGGAATGACCGTGAGCAGTGGTGGGCAACGAAAGCAGAAGAGATGGAAAAGGCGGCGACTATAGGGAACACAAGACAGCTCTACAGGCTAATTAAAAAACTGGAATTAATAAGTCGAATGTAAGTGAGACTATCGCGGTAAAAGACGACACTCTCATCTGCTCCCAGTCCAGACGTTTAGAACGATGGGCGGAACATTTCAGAGAACAGTTCAGCTGGCCTTCTGCTACTCTACAACTACCCTCCATCCCCAGACAGTGTGAGTGGTACATTGAAGTAGGTCCCCCGACTCTTACTGAAGTTCAAAAGGCTATAGTTAATCTGAAACGAGGGAGGGCAGCTGGTCCAGATGGACTGGCTCCAGAGGTCTTTAAGGTTGGTGGTCCAATTTTAGCGATTAAGTTGACTAATATTTTAGCTAAGATCTGGGGATTAGACTTTATCCCATCTAACTGGTCACAATCACTTATCGTCCCAATATATAAGAAAGGGTCAAAATCATCCTGTGACAACCACAGAGGTATTAGTTTAACAAACATAGTATCTAAAATACTGGCCTCGATAATTATCAAACGCCTAACTAAGACTCGTGAACTACAAGCTCGAGAGAACCAAGCTGGCTTTAGACCTGGTCGTGGCTGCATCGACCACATATTCACCATTCGTCAGGTTCTAGAACACAGGCATACCTATCGGCGTCCGACGATGGTGGTATTTCTCGACTTAAAGGCAGCATTTGACTCGGTAGACCGCGAGACTCTGTGGCAGTGTCTGTCATTGAAAGGCGTATCCCAGAAGTATATAAACCTTGTAAAGGCTCTTTACTCGAACACTACTAGTCGAGTCAGAGCTTATGGCGAACTGTCATCTACTTTTGCAACCTCAAGTGGTGTCCGTCAAGGCTGTCCACTTTCTCCATTTCTGTTTAACTTCATCATAGACCTATTGATGGAAATAACACTCTCGTCGACTGAATTCTCGGGTATTGATCTCCTTCCAGGAGGTCCACTTATCGACTTAGAATACGCAGATGACATAGTCCTGTTTGATGAAGACGCTGACAAAATGCAGAGTCTTCTGGCAGCACTAAGCAACAATGCCAGAATGTTTGGAATGCGCTTCTCTCCCGCTAAATGCAAGTTGTTGCTTCAGGACTGGTCTGCGTTAACACCTGAACTAAGGATAGGGAGTGAAGTAGTCGAACGCGTTGACAACTTCACTTATGTTGGAAGTCTGATCAGCCCTAATGGGTTGGTGTCTGACGAAATCTCAGCACGGATTCGAAAAGCTCGTTTGGCTTTCGCCAACTTACGTCACCTATGGCGAAGGCGAGATATCCGTCTATCAATAAAATGACAAGTATACTGCACGACAGTCCGTTTTGTTTTACTTTACGGCAGCGAAACATGTCCATTAAGAGTAGAAGACACTCGTAAGCTAGTAGTATTTGACCACAGATGCCTTATAAATATTGCTGGCGTCTGCTGGGATCACAAGGTTAGTAATAGTGAGGTTAGACGCAGGGTATTAGGGAATGATGGTAAATCAGTTGATGACGTTATTAATCTTCATCGACTGAGATGGTTGGACCGTGTTACGTATGCCTGAACACCGATTACCACGACGTGCAATGCTGAACGGTGTTGGAGATGTTTGGAAGAAAGTTAGGGGCGGCCAAACCAAAACGTGGCATCAGTGCTTGAGGACACTAACTTCTGGTCTGAGCCATGTTGGTAGATGCAGACCACTTGGTTGTGGTCGAATGGTTGGTGACTGTAGGTAACATGGCTGAGGATCGATCACAATGGCGTCGGTGTACACACTCTCTGTCTTCCCTTAAACAAAGAGATTAAAATCGCTTCATATCTTTCTTTCTACGCACTAAATCTTTTTCCTTGTACTATGCCCTTATATGCAATCTCCCTTATATATTTCCAATTTTTGCTAACATCAGTTGCAAGCTTGCGTGTATTTATGTCGACAGAGACATATTTGTTTGTGGTTGGTGTTTCACCAAGTCAATTTCTGTAAAGTATGCGAACGCTGCTAGGGCTTTTTAACGAGGCAACATAGACAATCTTAGTTATTTGTATCGACCTGACATGTCTGACAGCCTCTTTAGTAAATATTGCGACTGGTTTCCAGAACTTCATACTGATGATTACGCCATCCACACAAATGGAATAGTGGCTTTCTTCACTACACAATGTTTCTGGACTGTTCTTAGAAAAACTGTATGATCGACAGTCCTGTTGAATCAAAAACACGTGACCAAAACCTAGCTTGCAACAATACAGTGATCCAGGAAATATCACAATTGCCTAGTTTTCTCAGGACAAGGAAAGCAACAACTTGAAGGCAAGATAACTTTAACGACTGATTAAATTCACTTCATCCTCCAAACGTGTCTCAAGGTTTCTGCATCCGACAATTCAACATAAGTGGCGGCTACATCCCTTATACCTAGAAAGCTTTCAAATCAATCTGCTTTTTATCTGTTTGGAGAGCATATACCCAAACGGCTTTTTGTGCGATGGTTTCGAAGAATAAGTTCTTCTAAGTGAGCATCTTAGAAATACACCAAGGACAATTAAAGAAGCCAACATGTTCTTGACGAAGCTATTGGGCTCTATGAACCCATCATTCTAATTTGCTTATAAACCAATGAGAATCATGCAGGATGAATAAAGATGTCTGTAGTGATGCAAGACGGTCGTACTGCCTAGTGTGTTATTAGTGGACATCCGTTCACACCATTACCTCGAAACCCCCCCACACACAAGTTACAGCAGATATCTCATAACTAGGTAGCTAGCTAGTTTCGTACTTATGACTTAGAAATTGAAAACAGCGATAATTTCATTGTACTATACGGTCGTTTTTATAGGGATAAATGACTATTTGACGAAATACTAAATAACAAATTTTGTGGTAAGGGAAATTTAAAGAAAGGATAAAAGCATGTCACAGACGATTCTCAAAAACATGAATTTGAATCCGAATAAATGACAAATAATAAAAGTCAGTTGAAAGCACAGAGATCAAGAATCATGAAAAGTCACAGCCAGACGAGCTTCAGGTGTTTGTATCGGTATCTCTTGAATCTGTGGAGTTTGTTCCTTCAACGAGCCGTAGTAAAATCATTCGTGCAACTGTACAAATGTAAGAACATAATGTCATTAATGTGATATTAATTAACAGAAATACATATTAGTTTACATCTCCCAAGGTTATAAAGGTTTAATAAAAGTGACACTTGACTTCTTGGAAACAAACAATGATAACATAAAGGTTATTCAAGTACGCTGAAACCCACGAAGCATAAAGTATCATCGTAAAGTAGTGAGAAATATTGGGATGATAGTACATCTTATTAGAGCCACCAAATATATATATACAACTTATAAGGCTGTTACATATCCACTTCTAGTAGTAGGTTTCATATTGGATAACACTGTACAACAAATTTATTAATACTCAGGATATTTTGATAAATTATTAATTTTACAAAGCTTTAGTTATTGTATTAATATATCATATTTCTAAATTAAATGAGAGTGTGATAAACACTTATTGCTAATAAGATGATCACTCTTTATATATTCCACTGTAATCATTCTGATTGAATAGTTTTATCTCTCATTGTGAATTCACTGTATTATACAGAAAATGCATTCAAATATTTATAGACTGGAAAATACAAACTCAACTGGCGAAAATATTATTAGATTTTCTAATGTTGAAAAATCCTAATCACGGTCAGTGTAAAATAATGTTGTTGATTATATTAATAAATTTAATTATACGACTAAATTAGTTCTGATTTAGTTATAATCATTTTATTGTTTAACTGCAAGAAGATGACTGAAGACAGAAATCTTGACAAAATTGTAGGTACATTATTCAAATTTATTTTCTATATACAGTGAAGCAATTAAACCAGCAACACTGAAATTAGGTGTGCAAAAATGAGGTTACGAGGTTAGGAACTACAATACTCCGAGACAAAGTAGGACAAATAGTAATTATTTGACTGATTATACAGTGTTGATTGAAGCAGAGATATAGTGAAGAAGGCCATTATGAAGTTGGTTGATAACAGGGTTATATTTGAAGCTGTTTCAAGAAGTAAGACAGCTCTTCGAATAGTTGTTATACTATACTGGTTCGATATTTACTTCAAATTTAGGATGAGAGATATATCACGATATTCACATTTGAATCAAGAGAAGTCTACGAACGCTTTAGCAGAGGAGGTTTGTACAGATTGCTGAATTCTATAATATACATAATGAAGTGATCTTAGTTACAATACACTGAGAAACATGAAGTACTGGACAGTTTTTCCGACCCTTATATTAATCATAATTATCTGCTCCCTTGTAAATAATTTCTCGGACACCCAGTGGAAAGACTTGATCAGTGGAGTTCAACTACGTTGCGTGTAAATCAGTTAACTACAGATAGCATAGAAAGATGGTTGTAGAATATCGTGAATTGATTGACGTAAGACGTGCAAACCACAAAATGTTAGTTGAATAGTTTAAAGGTTGAGATTACGCGAGATATGAACGTCCTGCGTTTGATTCTTGGTGGAATCGTAGATATACACTACAACGAAGCCCCATAATAGGAACAGTTGTCCTGTGCTCCTGGTTTACGATGGTTGTCTAAAGTCAGTTCGTGATGCCAATTATAAAAGTAAAATATGGTGTATAATGAAATAATAAATGCCTTTAGTTTTGATAGATGTAAAGTAAATAAAAATTGCACTCACCACGACCAGCTCGTAGACGTGCGATACTATCTAAGTGATTATTACCAGAACTTAACATTTTTTTTGTTCTTATTTCATTTGCTTGACATAACTGTATAACATTAATTAGTAAACGAATGAACAAATGATTTAGTGAGTTAAATATTCGTCAGCTAAAATGAAAATCTACTCTTATTTTGACAGTCAGTAAGAGACTTAAAGTTTTCTATGAGTGTATGCAACGGTAATTTGTAGATTTTCTGTCAAACCAGGTTACAGACTTTGTTTGTAAGTCTGTCATTTTGTTATAAAAGAAAGAACGACTCTAATTTTCCAAACTAATCATTTAGTTTTTTATGTTTATTTCTCTTCTCTTGGTTGCTGAGTCGGGAAATCATCTCACACTTTTCGCTCCTTTTTTGCACTGCCATACAAAATAACTATACGGCCTCCTTTCGAACCCGGATATTTTAGTAACTAATAATATTGAGTAATTAAAATTCGGTTAGATTTTCAACTTTCGTTACGAGTGATTAGAAAGCACAACCTAACATATAACAATAAATAATTAACATCATACAGTAATTTCGTTTTGTGTTTGTCTATCTGTGCAGAACATACTGATAAAGTTAGACAAGAATGTCAACAGACCTGACTTGCTTCTTCTTCATGTTGTTTTACTACTTTCATAAACGCTGATTCACCATGGTCATCACCATCGTCAACATCACTTTGTTCGTATATATTTGGATCAGGTTCAATTATTTTTATGGACCGATCAATTCCGCTGACAGCAATCACTAAATCAGTTAAACGATTGTTAGATTAAAATATTACTGTAAGAGCAACAAAATAAACAAATAAAAGTAGGTATTCTGTCTTCAGTTCAATTTCAGTCAGCTGCAACGTAGGACCAGGCACAAATATGCATCGGTCCAAGTTGCTATACCGCATTAGTACAAAAAAGAACACCGAATTCATAGAAGTAATTAATTCAGTGGTGGTAATATATATATATATATATATATATATATATATATATATATATATATATATATATATATATATATATATATATATATATATATATATATTACATATATATATTACATGTTTGTTCTGCACGTCTAACGTTATTATTTATATCAAATTGATCATGACTGTAAACTGGCGTGAATTCTGTAATTATTATTTTTCAGAATATAAAGTTATTATTATTATTATATAAGGGCATAGTACAAGTCAGTCAGTCAGTCAGGAACAACGTAGAACTTCGTACGTACGTACATCAGTTCGAGTTGCCACACCACCTTAGCACAGAGATGCAGTGGTCGATTCAACTCCCGTAGTGGTAGAGGTAATAAGAGTATAAGCAGTAATCGGGAAGATTAGTGTTTGGAGATGTTACTTAAAGAGTATAACCCAGTGAAATAAATTTGGAAAGAGGAAAAAAGGGACATGAAGAATTCAGAAGATTAGAATTTGGGGGAACACAAAGAGTGGATGCACCTGCGCCATTGCAAATGATTTTGAGCCATGTCATTCAGGGTCTCTAACCATCGGTTACTATCATCTCGCAGTCCCCAACCAGGTAGTCTACACCTACCAACATGACTCAGTCCACTTATCAGTGACTTCATGGACTTGTGCCATGTTTTGGTCTGGCCGCCCCTAGCTTTCTTCCAACCTATTCCTATACCACTGAACATCGCACGTCGAGGTAGTCGGTCGTTGGGCATACGTAACACGTGTACCAGCCATCTCAACTGATGAAGATTCACTACTTCACCAATTGATTTGCCATCCTTACCTAGTACCCGTTTCCTAACAACTGTGTTACTTACTCGATGGTCCCAGGATATACGAGCAATATTTCGAAGACACATATGATCAAATACTAGTAACTTTCGAATGTACTCTACTCTTACCGGCCATGTTTCACTGCCACAAAGTAAGACGGAACGAACTGCTGCGCAGTAAACACATCCTTTGGTTGATAGACGGATATCTCGCCTATGCCATAAATGACGCAAGTTGGTAAAAGCTAGTCCAGCCTTCTGTATCCGTGCTGAGATTTCGTCACACACCAGACCACAAGGGCTGATGAGACTTCCAAGATAAGTGAAGCGGTCGACACACTCAACTACTTCACTCCCTATCATTAGTTCGGGTGTCAATGCAACCCAATCCTGAAGCAACATTTTGCATTTCGAGGGGGAGAATCGCATTCCGAACATGCTTGCATTGTTACTTAGAGTGGTCAGAAGACTCTGCATATTGTCAGTGTCTTCGCCAAATAAAACTATGTCATCAGCATATTCTAAGTCAATGAGTGAACCTCCTGGTAGAAGTTCAACCCCTGTAAATTTAGATGAGGAGAGTGTTATCTCTAAAAGCATGTCAATAGCAAAGTTAAACAAGAATGGAGAGAGTGGACAGCTCTGACGAACACCACTTGAGGTAATCAATTCTGATGACAGTTCGCCATAAGCCCTCACTCTACCAGTTGTGTTCGAGTAGAGAGCCATTATAAAGTTAATGTACTTCTTCGGTACTCCTTTCAGTTACAAACACTGCCATAGAACCTCACGATCAACAGAGTCGAATGCCGCCTTAAGGTCGAGAAATACTACCATTGTGGGGCGTCTGAACGTGTGTCTGTTCTAGAACTTGACGTAGTGTGAATATCTGATCTATACAACCACGTCCAGGTCGAAAACCAGCCTGATTTTCTTTAGTATGCTCTTCACGAGCTTTGGCTAGACGTCGAAGTATTATTGAAGCTAATATTTTAGACACTATATTTGTCAAACTGATTCCCCTGTGATTGTCACAAGAGGACTTTCGTCCTTTCTTATAGACTGGCACAATCAGTGATTGAGACCAGTCAGATGGGATTACGTCCAGTTCCCAAATTCTACCTAAAACCTCGGTTAATCTCATTGCTAATACTGGACCACCATCCTTAAAAATCTCAGGAGCAAACCTGTCAGGGCCTGCTGCTCTCCCTCGCTTCAGATTTCCTATGGCTTTTTCAACTTCGTAAAGAGACGGAGGACCTACACTAATTTGCCATTCAGGTTGACTGGAGATCGTGGGAAACCGAATTGTGGCTGAAGGCCAGTTGAACTGATCCCTAAAGTGTTCTGCCCATCGATCCAATCTCCTGGATTGAAAATTTATAATATGTCCATCTTCCTCTGAGAGCGTTTCGCTAACAGTCGGTTTCCTTAACAAGTCTGAACAATTGTCTACTATTACCTATTGCCGCTGCCTTTTCCATCTCTCTTGCTTTCGCTACCCACCACTGTTCCCGATCATTGCGTAGACTTCTTGTCAGCTTGCGCTTAAGCTGACTCCGCTCTTCATTATGTTCAGAGCCAGGTGGAATGAGTTCCAAGCATCTATCAGTGCGATAGATGCTGCTGAGATCCAGTGTTGCTCCCTAACTTTACGGGTTACCGTACTAGCAGATATCATTGCTGTTTCCACAGCTTTTCGGATATCATTCCACTCTGTCTCGGGGTGGGCATCACATACATGGCTGACTAACTGTTTTCCTAGTTGTTCCTGAAATATACTCTTAGCTTGACTATCATTAAGTAGGGCCCTAAGAGGTTTCCTTGCAGCGTCTTTCCTACGTCCAGTAAGACGCAAGCAAATACGCGCTCGCACTAGAGCATGATCTGAATCTAGGCATGTGCTCCAGAATGAGCGACAGTCTTCTATCGAGCCCCTCCATCGGTGGCTGATAGCGATGTGATCTATTTGGGTCCAACGTTGGGACGAATTAGGGGGTCGCCATGTTAAAAGATGTTTTTCCTTATGCTTAAAGTTAGTATTTGCAAGGAACAGGCGGTTATCCGAGCATAGCTGCAACAGTCGGTCGCCATTATCTGTTCTTTGAGCCACGACACCATAAGATCCACCTAGGTGTCTTTCCCTATCGCTTAGTTTACCTACTTGAGCATTAAAGTCACCGGCCACTATTACTACATCCGAGCGCTTAGCTTTTCGGAGAAGGTCCGAAAGCTTTCTGTAAAACTCATCTTTTACATCATCTGAGCTGCAGTCAGTGGGAGAATAGGCAGAGACGACGAAGAGGCAACGACGAGTGTCCCTATCTTTCCGGATTCTTACTGTTCCGTTCAGTCGGACAGCGCACAAACGACTGTCTACTGGGATCCAGGTTTCAGTAGACCTGGGACAGTTTTTTGCGCACTAGAATTGTTGGCTATGTTGACACTTGAGGGGGAAGCCGAAAGAGGAAGTTTGGAGTTGAAAGTCGATGTTGGAGGAATAATAGGAATTGAAGAGGGAGGTTGATTATGAATACAGTGGTCTTGAGTGCTGTTAGAAGTATGAGGGCGGTTATCACTTCCCGGTTGCCCACACCGTGGAAGGGTTCTTCTGGAGTTACCTGAAATGAGATTGCATTAGAGGTGGTCATAGTGACCTGGGAGCGTGACCACAGTGCCCAAAGGACAACTGCTTGAGGTCGGTCACAGAACCTTTTTATGAGTAATTTTTGTGTTAGCTCCGTACTTGTTGAGACCTTACCGCCGGAGACGGATATCCATGGGATAAGGCGAGGTGTGCATTTTTAGCGTCGACCTTTTCTAACCCCACCCCTCCTTGTGGGAAGGCAGCATCGCTGTCATGCTGGTTGTCTGAAAGAGACACCTTACTGCCGTCACACCTCTGTACAGTCAGCAGTACGACTTCGCCTTCGGACCTTAGAATTGCTGCTTTTAGTCTTACCCCTCTTCAGCCGACCTGTCTGGCATGGTAGGACCTTGAGGGACGGTTGTTCCAGCCAGTATAGCTCGGTTGCTTTATTACGATAGGCAAGCCCGACCACCACGTCATGGTAGCAACAACGGTCGAGTCAGTTCAATCTGTATGAGTGACAAATATTACACGAAAAAAATAGAAAGTAAAAGAGAAAATTTTCTTAACCTATGTCATAACATCAAAGTAAACAAACATTTATTGTTGGGAAAGGCTGTTAAAGTACGCATTTGAAGTAGATTAAAAGACACAAGACTACACGCTAACATAATCTACTAGTGGTAATGTTAACTAACTTGGAAAAAGAGAGTGAGGAATAATTCGATTTACTACAGATGTATCTGCTTTAATTGCAAGTGCAGGCTTTCCTGTATTACGATCCCATGCAATTAAATGACCACATTCAGATCCGGACAGAATAAAATTCCGGCCCCAAAATGTTGACACTTTGACCTGTAAATCAATAAAATATGGTAATTTAATTTAATTATCTAATACATAATGTACGAAGGTAAAATGTCTAACCCTTGGCTCAATCAGTAGAAAGATTAAGTAAATCATGATACATGCAATTAGACTAAAATTCTAAAACAAAACACAGTGGATGCTACTCAGAACATTGCTTGTAAGTAGTATGTTGCCGAACGTAGCCTCAAAGTTGTCGAACAGAGTGAACAGTTTTAATACAGCGGAAGTACGGCATTGACAGAACATATCGGAAGACGCAAATGGACGATTGAAAGCTATGTATATGTATTGCCTTGCAACATCTCGCAATAACTACACATTCGCCTGTTCTTTGTCATGTTTTTCAAAAGCAGATAGCTAAGTTCACACAATAAGAAAAAAGTTGACCTATTAATTATTTTTGAACCAAAAGACTCTTGTCTTCTCGGCGGGACTATACATGGACAAACTTTGAGTGAGGCCAAAGTGACCTTGAGAAAATTCAACTGCTTGGTATATTCGAGAGTGTAAGGCCTATGATCAGAAGTTACAAGTTACTGTTTTAGAATTATAGTCACAGTTTTAATTACGAACTGATATCAGTTACAGTACCAAAATACTATTTAACCACATGAATAAATTTTGAGCCGAAATTCAAGACTTGTTATCTTAAATCCTATTGATTCGTCGATAATTTATAGTCCCACTAGCTTCTGCACTTGTCCGCTAACGTTGGCTAGCCAAAAATAGGCAAATTAGAGTGCTCCAACACACTGTAATTTATATCGCGCTAGGAATTTATAAAACAGTTTGACAGGAACCCAATCTGAAGAGATTAGAAAAATGTAATCAGATCTAGAAATACAGTAATGTGGTAAGAAATAAACAAAAGCTACATCTTACTACAGCAATGTATAAAATTCAACTCTATATGAACTTATACGCTTTATTCATACGAATTAAATCACTTAAGCAATTGGCTGATATTTTTATGATCTCTCAAACCATAACTTGCAACATCTATCTATTAAAGATTTGGGATAAATGAGAATTTTCAAACAACTTGAATATCATCCTACACAAATATTCTTATAGTACAATATCGTTCAGTGTTAAGGATAAGGGAGTGGATTAGCATACAACTAAACGTGAATAGTATTAACAGAATTAATAAATGTACTTAGAAAACAGCATACCACAGTACTACAGCATTCACGACCACGATATTTCATTATTTCACGACATCTTGGAGAAGAATTTATGATGTCAGAAATATATGCATCTGTTAAGTAATCGATGGGGAGTTTTTGTTTACGCTGAGAACCTAAAGTAAAGAACAACAATTGACGAAGATGAATATGGACATAACATAAAAAGTAATAATCTACTGTAACAACACAAATGCCAATAATCTACTTTGCAACTTAAATTTAAAATGCAAAAAGGCCAGTGAAGACATAACACCATGATAAAAGTACCTACGCAATCACATCACTCACAAATTGTTGGTATTTAAATACACTAATTCCAAAAACAGTGAGAAACATATCTGTCATTTCGAACCCTAATAAAAAAACATCTGAAACAACAATAAATAATAAATTTAGGTATTATACCTGTATAAGAAGTTTGACCAGACGTTGATTCGGCAGGACTTGAAGACACTGTTTGAGGTTCAGTCGATGCTTCATCCACAGGGCTTTCATCTGTTCTGGATCGATGTTGGGTGAGCCATCTGAAAGATATAACATCATATTAATTATCTATCGCAAAGCAGAGATCTGTGTGGTAACTTTAAGCATCCATAAAACTATGAAAATACTTTTTTTCGTAATAAAATTAACCTTTTGTGCAGTTTACCCACCATAACTTTACTAATTGATTTCTGTGTTACTGACGCACTACTTAATTGTGGTGGATTTTTATAAGGGTTATGGAAGGAAAATTAGTTGATCCAATCACGGATGTTTTACTGGATAGTGATGAGCAATGACACGTCAGCATTATACTAGACTTTATAGTTCATCTTCAACACATAAATACTAATCGATCTTACGTATTACGTTCAATATGTATCCTCTTGTTTCTTATGCCGTTTCGAGCCCAGCTTCAATGACTATGCTATGTATGAAAAACGTTTAATAATAATATTACAAATGTAAGTTTGAGCCGTTAGCAGCTGATGAAAAGCCTTGGAATATGATGAAACCCTATCATTTCGAGAACCTTATCCTTCACACTTTATATAAATTTTTCGATGGATCAGATTATATAAAATTTAAAGTCAGTGTTTGTTATTTTCGGTCCTGCTGTAGACTACTTGCTTACTACCCTGGGTTCGCGGTAGTGAGTTTCTTCGAACCACATATTCTACTCACTGCACACACAAGGAATCAAGAGTGTGAGAGTAATTGATTGATCTGAACATAGAGGGTTTATTACAGAAATCACACACATATTTATATCCTGAGTTATTGGAATTTTTGAGGACAAGTGTTGAGGTACACATAATAATTTCTCCTCAAGGTAATCTGAAATATCCTACGTTACATACGACAACGTCCCTAACACACTTTTGTACGTTGTAAGCAATGATAGTGTTCATAGAAAAAAAAACAATACATTAAATAGTATAATGATTTCGTCATAATTTATAGAAATAGAGTTCATAGAAGTAGTAGGAAATTAAACTTGTATTTCACCTAACAACGTAACAAGAAACTTACCGATAGAGAGAGACAGTTAAACGTATATTCGGATCTGAAATAAGGCTATCTGAAACAAAAATAAAAACAAAATTTCATCGACGATTAGTGGGCTTTCAGATCAAAAGTTATGTGAAAATTCATAATTTATGAAGACTGTAATATAAAGATGAATAAAATACAGACAGGCATCAAACGAATATACTTGTTGAATAATCATGACCAAAAATAAGTTTTAGAATAAACTCTTAATGTCTCCATGTATAGAACATAGATAAGTAGGGACACTTGGAGATTTAAAACGCTAATAATTTGTTCTTGTTTATGTAAACAGTAGGGTAATTTTAATTGCCTTCAATATCCTCAATCTTTGGTAAGTGAGCTTGTAGAGGCTAATTTCCCCTACATCTGACTCCAATGAATAGTTTCCTGTTAACTGAGTATTTAACGCACGCTAAATCGCCTAGTAGGATTATGGATTTACTCGAGATTATTCAATACCTGAATACGAGTTATAGGGACAGTTTATTGTTAAAGACTGGTAAAATCCGCAAGTGTGCAGGAAGCAAGCACATAGGGAAACCGATAGAGTATGTGTTAAAAATCCATATATATTTATGTATTAATTGGTTGTGGATAAATTATTGATTGTTTGTGTGTTACAACCATAGGGAGAATAGATTAAAGAATGATGTGCAGACACGCGCTCAATCAGATTCACACAGCAATTTACATAGTGTATTAAGTATTTAAATTACAGTGGGCAAACAAATAATACAGTAGTTGAATGGGTTTAATACAAGCTAACCTACATGACCTTTCCATTGTATAACCGTGAGTTCAAATTGATTATACACAAGCAATATGTAACTGCTATTACTATCAGGATGCAAATCTGAAACCTCAGATATAAAAGTATAATGAAGCTTGTATACTTCCTATCAGTACAAGTGGCCTTTACTCCCAACTTGATCGGACAAGAACATTTACATACCAGTCGGTAACAGAGGGTTATTTACCGGAGTGTCATATTGAGAAATCCATTTTGGACTCGAGTACATGAACAACAATGTGGTGTAGGAAAACGGTTGAAGTGACTTGCAATATTCAAATAGTGAGTACTGAATTCCTCTTTAATTATCATACTTATTGATCCTCGCTACCATTGCATTATAACTATTATAGTTATGTGACAAATGAAGTAAATGAATACAAAGAGAATCGTAACAGTGACGGGATAACACGAAACTGTACCAAATATTTTTGTGATAAATGCTAGTAATACGAGAGTTAATATATAAAACTAACGGTTTCTTTACCAATATTGAAACCAAATCTATAAATCTCGTGTGAAATCTTACCTTCCGATGAGCGAGGAGATTCTGTTTCCGATGATGGACTGCATGTATCCGTATTCGGTAGCCAATCAGGTCGCTTTAATAAATAACAGCCCAAAAAATTATTGGTCATTTAGTTGGATGAAAATAAAGAGAATTCAACAAAGAAAATTTTCTTTTCAACGAAGTCACTTACTTAAGCCGGACATTCGTATTTAAAGTTGCTTGGTAAATATATATGTTTCCAAAAGGATAGAAGAGATCGCACCGTAAAGTAAACCAAGATTTTAAATATAATCAAATCACTTAGTTACCAGGTAAAAATAATTACTATGATGATATCTTAGACGCTAACAAAATAAATAGTTAAAAGATTGGCGTATGAATGCCAGCTAATAGTTCATGACAGGTTTATTACTATAAAGGGAGATATCAATGTAGCATTAACACATCTACTGACGCCCTTGAATTCAAGTTGTGCCTTGGAAGAGCACGACTACAGTAACAGACTATTTGAAAACGCGCAAAGCTACAAAACAAAGAGCGTTACGGTAGAAAAGGTTACTGAATAAATAAAAACCAAATGCGACAGGAAGTAGATCGTCTGTAAGTTTAATTAAGAAACCACTTCCATGATACATCCGTGAAGTTTATCATTTTATTACTTACAACGATCTGAAATAATTATACAGTTGGAGGGAAACCCAATAAATCCAGGAGTTGTAAAGAGTATTTTTACAGAGTGAGGGAAGGTAAATCAAATAAAAGTATGTTAATTCACATTGATTTTGAAAGACTGTTGCATAAAAACATACCTGTACTTCAGAGTCGCTAAGCGTTTCTTCTGAACAAAGATCATACAAGAAAATAGGGGCATACATATGACTGACAAGTAAATGTTTCCCACCAAGATTCGACGAAAGTGACTGTTTACGGCCAGTAGGTAACCAAAACTGAGTATGATCCTTGTCATAGATAGGTTCAAACTTGACTGACGTTATATGACCTGGTCCATAATCTAATCTGAACGTTTTGGTTGAATTTATCTTCGCGGGTAAACCAAGAGGTCTGGCTACACGAAATGGCATAGGTTGGGGTGGGTCACCCACAGCTGCGGAGGACACTATAAAATCAGACGTTAGTTACTGAAACAATATGGATCCGTAGTTAAACGAATGTTAAGTAGAAAGTTATGTGAACAAGCTTTGATAATCGCAACTACTATTAAAAAATAACGTTCTCTAATAATATCGAATATCTGCAAGGTTATTACTAGCAAGAAAGCTGGTCAGTATATTGCCTTTGGATTTGCTATAAACGTTTATTAGCCAAACGTTAAGACAGCAATCAAATTTACCAGGTACATAGGTGTGAACCACACTTCAAGTGTGAGGGGAAATGATACTACCCAGTCGCACAAACGGAAGCAAGGTGGGGAGAGGTTCAAACTTGGGACGTAGTGGCCGAAAGTTGAACCCGTTGACTAATAAATCAACGCTCCGCTGAATTTAGACGCTATATAGTAAGTAACTGAGCATGTATATGCAGACTGAAGATGAAGGATCACGGTAATGACTGTGGATTTATTATTGGGTACTAATTGAATAGTGGACTCACAAGTGGAAACGAGCTTTCGAATATCGAAAAGACGTACAAAACCGTCGGCAGTTGCCAGCGCGATTGAACGACATCCATTCAAAGGATGGATATCACCAGCAGTTACTGGAAAATGAAACTTTAACTGATTGACAACAGAAAAATTTGAAACCCATGGTGAGTTTGTGTTGTTGAAGCATCCCCGACTACAACTCGGACTCTTGTGCACGGAGGTGATTCTGGTATCCAGAAGAGTGGCTGAATGGTCATGAGATAGTGTTATAAAGCAAGTAGGCATTTCTTGCAAAGTAAGAATCTGAAAACAACAACAAAACGTTTGCTAAACAACCATGATATAGTGTAAGTAAAAAGGTATAAAATCAAACATCTGTAAAGCAAATAGATATTGTTTTAGTCAACTAAACAACAAGGCAATTTATCGTATGTTTAAAATCCAACTACCTAATCTTGTTTTAAGTTTCGTTGGTGATAACTGATTTTTCATTCACGTTGATAATCTAATTGGCTTTATTGGTACTCTTAATAGAGGTAGTTGATCCATTTTTTGAGTGAACGCTTTAGCAATGTGAGCTAATCGCAATCATAGGTACACAAGGCAGAAAGTATCCTCAAGAATATACAAAATACTGAAACTGGACACTAAGATAAAACAATTACGACAATGACTATAAAATTCTCTTATACAGACGCTTAAAAGATCTACTTGACTAGACATCTTATCAAAATAGCATGCCCCTTATCTACCACTTGATAGATTTTCTCGCTCATATTTTATAATTAAGGTCTAGCAACAACACTAACAAGTACCACCTGAGCTGGTGTTTGATAACGAAAGCACTCAGTGGTGAGAAATACATATATCAACAGGAATCGAATTATCTGGTTATTAAAGGGAATTCCCGTTTCCACCTAGATAGAAACTACTTTGCTCTTTTACCATTCGAGACAATAGGTAGTTTTCGAAAAGGAATAATAGTTTCTTCAGGCGTTCCATTTCCAGTAGTGCTTGCGACAGTTAGCACTCCCACTACTCGGCGTGGAACAGCTTGTTTCGAAAACGAGGTTTTCATAGGAGCACTGACTAACGAACAGGGATATAAATATACATAAACATAAAGGCACTTATCGGGATTATTAACAAATGGAAACGGAAACCAAAAGTAGAATGCAGTGAATACTCATAGACTTAAACTCACGTCATACACGGCAAACGTGTGACAGAAAATGTTCTTGAGACTATCCTTTATACTAGAGTTGGGATTAACATGGGTGACACAACCGCATTTAAAGCCAACAACTATCTACGGTAATTAAAAATTCGACTTGAACTTTACTTCGCTTCCGCAAGAAAAAGGGAGAAACTTCGCTGTAAAAATGTTACTGTACGCAGGCAACTTTAAATTATAGACGTTTTGACCTTCAGAATCCTGATTGAAAGGAGAAACCGTTATTTTTAAACTAATACAGCTAACAGAATAAACCTGTGAAAAAGCGTTAGCAATAGCGATACATCTGTCATCTGAACCCGACAAAATATACTCCCCGCGATCATCCCAGCAGATAGTATTAACCTGAAATACGAGGTTGGTGAAGACAGTAAACTTACACAACCACTGTGATAGCACAACTCTTTCTTGACTTTCAGCGAATGAAAGTAATACAAGTTGTCTATTCCTTCATTAAAGATCAAAAAGTACATACCTTTCCATATCCATTCTTTGTTCACTGAACCTGCAAACTCATAGTTTATTCGGCCTGAGTACATCAACGTAACGCCCCATCTAAACACCCCTCCAGCTAATGACCTTTAGTGACCTACTTTTATTAAGAAAACGCGATTGGCTTAATTGAAACAATTATTTTTATAACCAGTTGTACCAGTGATTGTTCTACTGTACCTGTTTTTTAAGTGTTTTAAAGACATTCTTTCTTCCGTTGATTGTGACCTTGCACTCACGTTTGCTCAGTGATTCCGCTTGTACTCCTTTGGCACGGTCTCGGTATTCGTTCGATACCACGAGATTGCTAACAAATATATCTCGCTACAACCTCCAATCGCCTTCTGATATCTAGTACGCAACCTTCTTGCAGTGATGTTCATAGTCAACCACGACTTGACGCCACTCTGCAACCTCAATGTAGTGCAAGGAGTAAATAGATTATAAGCACAGTAGCCTGTGGAGCATACGTTCGATAATGTAATATACGGTCCCTTAACTTATTATTTTTCTTGGAGCACTTCCGGATTTGTCTGTTTGTTCTGAACTATTATGATGAACTCATTTATTTCAGATTTGTGATCGTTCGTAATAACGCATCCAGCCGTAAAAGATGGTGCTACACGGCCACGCGTATACAGCCTCTGCCAGGAAAGTCCTACTCACTGCCTTCTTGTGACAGGAGTGTTGTTTACGAAAATGAGAGGACGAAAAGCGAATGTCCGGCGCTTTAACCGGATCTCAAACCAATGGTGCACATAGGCTCTAGTATCCTGCGGGAACAAATGGTTTATGGACCAATTTTTGGTCACCGGCTACCATGGGACTGCATCTCCTTATGATGCTTCACTGTCTTGTGGGTTAGACCTTTAGGTCAAAGGCTCGGGGTGTGGCTCCATAAGATAACGACCTGCTTCAGTCTGGGCACTCGGGCAGTATCATAGCCCACACTCAAATGATGAACTCTCTATATCTATGGAAACTACTTCTCTCGCTTCGAATAACAATCAAATGATTCAAATTATTATCATTACTATTATTGTTATTATCATTACTATAATTAATATTATTATTATTATTTACTACGACATTATTCACCCTCTTTTATTCCTACTGTCTATACTTATTTTTTCGACTTATACAGCAGCTCGTCTTTGGTGGAAATTTTACTCGATCTAAACGTTCTCGAGTCACTGTCCGGTTGAAAAGTGTGTGTTACCACCGAATATGAGTACTGAAGCAGTTTTTCTGAAACCACGTGCACCATTCAAACTGGCTGCCTTCAACGTTCGCACACATATGCAGGTTGGACAACAGATGGGGCTGACTATGTCTTTAGAAAATCTTTATGAATTCTATCACTAGTTAACTGTTCTCAAGAAAGTGCGTTCGACAGATATTGTAGTACAAGCCGGAGACTTGAATACTCAGGTCGGGCGTCTAGGCACAGAAGAGAGTCGTTTAGGTGGCCGATGGGGACTTGTTGGTCGCAGGACAGATAACGGGGACCGTCTACTGCAACTTTACACAGACCACAACCTGTTTCTGGCTAGCACTAACTTTCGGCACAGTCATCGCCGATGTGCCACCTGGCGTCCTCCCTCTGCATCCCAAGCCTGGACTCAGATTGATCACATCGTGATCAGCTACCGCTGGCGTGGTTGTGTACAAGACTGCCGCTCCTTTTGGAGTACCTATCTGGACTCTGACCATGCCTTGGTCTGCGCCAGTCTTGCCTTACTTTTCAGTGGCCAACGGAGTGACTGCCATCAATGGATTGATGTTAGCAAGCTGGTTGCAACTTCTGTTGCAAGTAAGTATCGAACCGAGCTAGCCTCTAGGCTAGCTACCACTCCACCGAAAAGTATAGATGAGCATTGGTTGCAATTGCATGACGCCATGAAAATGGCGGGAACAGTCAGTTGTGGGTTTGCGAAACGTCCCGCTTTTAAGCACTGGGTTTCTTCTGGTTCCTTACAACTCATTGAAGCCCGTCGGTCTACTCCGGTTGACCGTGAGTTTGACCATAAACGAAGGGTGTTACGTAAGGAAATTGGGCAAAGCTTGCGTGAGCACCGAGAAGCCTGGTGGTCGAAGCGTGCTAATGAGCTGGAAGCAGCAGCTGCATCTGGTAATTACCGGAAGCTCTTCCAGCTCATCCGAGCCACTGGCAGCAAGAAGTCTGGTGTGAGTGAAACAATCTGCGAGGATGATGGGATGCCAATCACTAACATCCATCGACGTCTTGGACGGTGGGCAGAATTTTTCGAAGGGCAGTTCAACTGGCCTGCTGCTCCGGCAACATCGGTCAGACTGTCCCGCCCTCCATGGCCAGTGACGACTGATCCACCAATTGAGGCGGAAGTCTGCAAGGAACTCCAACTCTTGAAGCGCTACAAATCACCTGGCCCAAATGACTTACCTCCGGCCCTTTTTAAAGATGGTGGTGACTTTCTGACTAAGTAACTGACGACGTTGTTTACAAGGGTCTTGGAGCTAGAGGGTGTACCAACGTCATGGAATGAGCCGATAGTTGTCCCTATCTTTAAAAAGGGTTCACGTCATTCCTTTAACAACTATCGGGGGGTAAGTCTACTTCCGATTGCGTCCAAGCTATTGGCTTCCATCATATTTTGTAGGTTGTTCAAAACTCAAGAAAGATTGGCTCGCGAGGAGCAGGCTGGTTTTCGTTCCGGTCGAGGATGTATTGATCATATCTTCACCCTCCTCTAAATGTTAGAACACCGCCATACGTATCAAAGGCCAACAATCGTAGTGTTTCTTGACATCAGGGCTGCCTTCGATTCGTTGGATAGGACTGTTCTCTCGGATTGTTTATTGAAAAAGGGTGTGCCTTAGAAGTTTATTAACATCCTAAAGGCCCTATATACAACCACCTTTCTCCATTGTGTCATTCAAGCAGTGGGGTTAGACAAGGTTGTCCAATCTCACCATTCCTCTTCAATTTTGCCATCGATGGCATTCTGGAAACAGCTCTGATGGATGTAAGTAGTGGCGGTGTGGATCTGATGCCTGGAGAAAGACTTTCTAACCTTGACCATCCTTATGACATTGCCTTCCTGTGTGATGATATCCATGCCATGCAATCCGCACTTAATCAGTTGGCAATCAGTGTCCGTAGGTACGGTATGAGCTTTGCACCTTCGAAGTGCAAAGAACTTCTACAAGACTGGCAGGATTCTAATCCTGTACTCACTCTGGATGGTGAGCAGATAGAAGTAGTCGAGAAGTTCGTGTATCTAGGTAGCTGCGTAAGTGTTGGTGGGGGTGTGAGTGATGAAACCAATGCACGTATAGTGAAAGCCAGAGCGGCTTATGCCAATCTGGGTCATCTTTGGCGCCTTCGTGATGTTAGTCTGGCTGTAAAAGTTCGGATCTACAACGCGTCGGTGAGAGCAGTTTTGCTCTATAATTGTGAAACCTGGCCTCTCCGAGTTGAGGATGTTAGACGACTCTTTGTTTGACCATCGTTGTCTCTGAAGGATTGCTGACATCCAGTGGCAACACCATGTTAGTAGCCATGCCGAGGTTCGGCATCGTGTGTTCGGGCACAGAGGTGATAATCCACTTGATTTCACCATCTTGAAACACCGACTCCGGTGGATTGGACATGTTCTCCGAATGTAGTCCCAGATAATTCCACGTCGTGCATTATTTGCCGACTCTGGGACTGGTTGAAAGAAGCGGAGAGTTGGTCAGTGTATGACATGGTGTCGAGGTATGGAAGAAAGCTGCAAAGGGCTGGCTTCTGTTGGTTCTTCACGACTTTCTGGCTGGGGTTTGAGAGATGGTGCAACACAGTGGCTAGAGACGTTATCAGATATGGCTCAGAATAGAAGCCAGTGGCGATCCTGCTGTAAGCTTTTACTTTCTTCATAAAAAGTGGTTGTGTCTCCCTTACCTGAAAATTTTTTCTGATTGTGCCTTTCCGTTCCCCCATTTTTACCATTATTATTATTACACCACCTTACATCATTCTCTTCGTTATTATTCTCTTTTTTTTCCTTCCCCTTAAATTCTCATTGTTTTGTGTGGCGCATATATATTTGGCACATTCTTGTACCAATATTTATGTGTTCAAATAAAAAATAAAAAAACTCATTTAATGAGTTGTAATTGGTTTCATTGCAAATTGGTATCCATATTACATCCGATCAATTACATTCATCATCGGTTTGATAGTCTGGCTGCGTGAAATACAATATTTCTAAAACATTCTGTTCCCGACTTTTTACATCACTGTCATTATATTTGTTACTACAACGGGTCAAGGTCGGGTAGAATGTACGGAATTTATACTGGATATATTAGAACGGGATTACTAAGCTAATGAATTCAGATGGCTACCTTAAACCATATTTCCGAAAATTGTTTAGCTCTTAATTAACTCATTTTTAACTGTTTTTTACTTCGAATCACCCATAATTGATTATCTTTGTAAAGCCCTTATGTAACAATATTCTTCGAACTCGAACATGTACATCGTCGTTATGTCCTTAAAGCTAATGAGTACCTGCCTTATAGAAAATAAATATAATTGTTTTTCGTATGGTGTTTACAAAGTATCAGTTTATTTTAGAATGTGAAATAAGAAGACAGTCATGTTATCTCTAACATAGTACACTATTCACTTGGTGTTGTTTGCTCACTTCTCATTGTTATTTAGGACTGCAATTATCCGTCTCTTGTTGGCATATGTGCATCCTGTACGGACTGCCACGATATTGCCTAATGTCACAAGCTTTATAATACACTATTACTTCCTTAATCGTATTTTAAAATGCCTGAAGTTACCAATCGGTAGTGCAGAATTATAAAACGTAGGTGGTCAGTCGGCAAGTAATTGCTTTTGGGTTGTAAAATTTTCTATAGAAAAATAGGACCTATCAGTTTTAAAGTCCAACCTACGTAATTTTAAGATTTTGATGATGTCACTGCAAATCCGTCTGTATAATCAGGGAAATAAATTGAATTTGTTGGCTTATTCTTGAGAGAGTTTACAATTTTTAAAGATCTGTGTGATCACAGTTGAATGGTTCTTTTTAGCAGCAAGCAGTGATTTTTGACAGA